TTTTTATTTGACTTAGTACACAACGGGAAGCAATAAAATTGTTTTAAAAATCACTTTAACTAAAGCTATTGGAGACTAAAGAATAAATGTGAGTGGGAATAAAAGGAATTTGAAAAAAAACGATCTTAGGTTTTGTTTTTGTCTATCTTTGAACCCATTTTCACCCATTGTATCTTGATATACTGAAGTTTCTATATAAAGTCTGTCTCAAGATAATTTGTATAGTGATGATAGTAGAACCAAATTGTACTTTTAAAATTAAGAATGCCTCAGGCAAAAGTATTAGACACATTTGTCAGCTGCTGTAATCACTTTCAAACCAGCAGATAGTCTTTAACAATTTGATTTCCAGTTGGAACTGCATAGTTCATCAAATCATAATTAAGCTAATGAGAGTGTTACATGTTAGTTTTGTCAGTTGAAGATCTATCATTCTGTAGTAATGAGCTTTCATACATTTCATCCTTGAGATGCTTAATATTCTTATTACCAGTGAAGGGGCATTGGCTTCTTTCAGATTTCTTGTTAATATTGCTAGTGTGACTGCACTGTGCTCAGAATCTCCAGTTTGTATGCCCCAGACTTTCAATGTTTTTTTCTTTTCATGCTGAGGAATATGCCTTCAATTCTGTGCATACCAAGCAAGTGTCTTACTGTTTACTTATATATCCATTCCTCTTTTCACGTTTTTTTGAGATAAGTTCTAGGTTACCCAGGCTGGTTTTGAACTCACTCCTCAGCCAAATCAAACCTCAAACTTGTGATCCTCCAGCATCAGCTTCCCAGATAATTATATATGCACCCATATAAGCAATATGTACATTTATGCTTAATATTCAACAAAACAGCACTTTTCATCCACTGTGCCTTCATTTCCATTGTGTTTTTCTGTATATATGGTGTATGTGCATGGGAACACATGTGCATGTGTAACGTGTACATATACATGTGAATACAAAGGCCAAAAGTCAACATTGGGTTTTGTTCCCCAGCTATCCACCTTTTTTTTTCTTTTTGGAAACAGGGCCTCTCATTAGAACTAGGCTTTCACAATTAGGTTAGATTGGCTGGCCAGTGACCTCCCCAGGGATCCTCCTATCTCTTCCTCTCAGTGCTGGATTAGAGACATGTACCTGGCCTCTTCAGTGTAAGGTTCTGAGGATTAAACACGGGGCCTGATGTACCATACTGACTGCCTTAGTTATGGTTTCCAATGCTGTGAAGAGACACTATGACCACCAAAATTCTCATAAAGGAAAGCATTTAATTGTGATAACTCACTTATAGTTCAGAGGTTCAGTGCATTATCGTCATGGCGGGAAGCAAGGTAGAGCATTCAGGCAGACGTGGTGCTAGAGAAGGAGCTGAGAGCTTTTACTTCTTGACTCACAGGCAACACAAAGTGTCTGAGTCACTGGGAGTGTCATGAGCATATATGAGATATCAAAGCCCACCTCCACAAGTGAGACACTTCCTCCAACAAGACCACACCCACTCCAACAGGGTCACACCTGTTAATAGTGCCACTCCCTTTGGAGGCCATTTTCTTTCAAACCACCACATTGACTGAGCATCTCTCCAGCCCAGAATTTTAATTTTTGCTCTGAGTAATAGTCAAAATACAAAAGTTTGAAAAAATCATTACATGTGGAAGTACGTGATCTCTCTCGTAGCCTCACTCAGTGACACCACGTTTTGCGGCAGCAGGGATTTCAGTAGGATGGTGAACTGTCTCAGGGATGGAGCTGTGCAAGAACAGGATCTACTTGACTGTGGTTCTTAGAGCTGCTTGTATCTATTAGTGTCCCTCTCCCAAAGGACAGTGCCCACTTTTATTCAAAGTGTTATTGCTAGGGAATGCCATGGTGTGAGGATGTTCAAAAGGGGTTAATACTAAACTCGACTCATTGTAGACATAGCATCACAAACCACAAACTACTGCAGTCTGCTGGGATGATACTGACTAGTTTTATTTTTTGTTGAAGCCCCTCATTCTTGCATGAAGTCATTGCCAGAGCTTGTGAATGTACCAGTGGTGGCACCAGGTGACACAAACACCAGGGCCAGAGCAAGGAAAGGAAAGATCCTAGAGCATCTGAATGGCTCTTGATGTTCTCATCGGGAATATCAGCTATAGTTAGACTTCCTGGTGAAAACCCTAATTTGCTGGCCTTAGAAGTCATTAGCTTCTGAAAGCAGGAACTGGGTGTCATGATTTTCCAAGACACAGAGCTACACAGACAGATTGAATTAGTCTGTAAGACAATATAATTTGCATTTGGAAGTGATCTGATGTAATGATTTAGAAAGTCCATCAGAATCAGACGACGCCATGGAATCCTTATGTAGTTGCAAAGGAGCACTGGCTAATCATGATTTCTTTTGAGAGGGATAAATAGACCATTCTTTCGGGGTTTAGTGGGCTCATCTACTTCCAAATACAGGTAGGCTACATATTTTGTATTTATATATGATCAACTGTAGAAATGAAAGGGACCTACGATTATCCAGTCCTCTGATTTGACGCAATCATTTCTAATTTATTCAGCTAATAGGCATGTGTGCTTCATGTGTTCAGCACAGTTCTAACCATTTGGATAGAGAGGAAATGGTATTCCCATAGGTACGGTAATAGCTAACCTTGGTTATGACTTTGGCACACCTGGGAAGAGAAAATCTCAGATGAAGAATTACCCCATCCTGTTGGCCTATGGGTATGTCTGTCTGTGAGACATTTTCTTGATTTCTAATTGATGTAGGAGGGCCCAACCCACTGTGGGCAATGCCATTCGTAGGTAGGTAGGCCTAGGCTGTGTAAGAAAGTAACTGAAAAGCAAGCCAGTGGGCAGCTTTCTTCCATGGTTCCTGCCTTGACTGCCTTCAGTGATGGATTGCAATCTGGAGGTGGATGAGATAACCCTTTTCTTTCCGTGTCGCTTTTGGCCAGTGTTTCACCACAGCACCAGAAAGCAAACCAGAACAGCCAAGTAATTCCCAGTTTGTGAACTCCTGCCTCATATGAACTTCCCCCTTTAGTGACGTATCACACCTTTAGACATCACAATGTTTTCTATCAATTTCATGTATCTCATTTATCAGCCAGCTTTACCATGACAATCTCACATTGAATCACTTCTACCCAACTTTATCGCTTCTGGTTTGACCCCACTGTTAACTACCCTATAGTTTGTGTTCGAAGCTATGAATTCTCCATCCCCTCCTAGGCACAATCTCTCCTCTGCCCAGACTGAATGGGCAGAAAATTGGGCTATTCTAAGGAACGGTCCATTGCATTATTAGGCTTACTGGCACATAAGGAACTCTTCCATCTCTTAGCTACAAATATGCCTTGTAACCCATTGCTCTGAGGTCCTGGGCATGAGGCTTTGTAAACTACACCTCTGCCCAGCCACATGCCTTCCCTTTCTGCCCATAGGAGCCTGTGAGAGACCAGGCAGCAGGAGGAAGGGCTCTCATCTGCCGTGCTGTTGCTGCCAGCATCTGGACAGTGTGGCTTCTTCTCACTCAGGCTGAGGCAGCTGGCTCCTGAAGCTGGCTCCATTTTCTAAGTTCTTCCTCTAGTGTGTCAGAATAATCAGAACAGTGCCCCACTCCTCTGGTTCTCATGCTGTGGGACTCCCTTTCTATCCTCACGAAGGTCTTCTAGGACAACTTCATTCTCTTTGATTTTAGCTCAGAAGAGGCTGGTCTTTAGATCTGTATTCCTTTTAGGAACTATCTACTATTTTACGTTTGCTATCAGCATCCCAGACCCATGTGAAACTGACAACGTATTGAGTTCTTCTTCCTCATTCATCCAGTGCCCAGTCTCCAAGTCCAGGCCATAACAACGAAGGAGTCTTTATTGCTCCCTCTTCCATCCTCGGGATCCTGATTGCCCTGTGCTCGGTCCTTTTCAAGTTCATTTTACCCACTATTCTGTGTGGGTGCCAAACTCTTGACAGTTTTTCCCACCCACATACCCCATGTCTATCTTCTGCTCCTCCCCACAGTTAAGTCTTAGTCACACTGCATGTCTTTCCACTGTGTTTTTGCACTTTCTTTTTGAGAATTTCTTTCTTTCTTAATTATTTATGCCAGATGGTGGTGATGCATGCCTTTAATCTCAGCATTTGAGAGACAGAGGCAAGATCTCTGTGATTTTTGAGTCCAGCCTGGTCTACAGAATGAGTTCCAGGACAGCTAGGGTTATACAGAGAGACCCTGACTTGAAACACCCTTAAAGTTATTTTATGTATATGAGTGCTCTATCTGTATGTATGTCTTATGCCAGGAAAGGGTATCAGGTCCCACTATAGATGGTTGTGACCACCATTTGGTTGCTGGAATTTGAACTCAGAACCTCTGAAAGAGAAGTCAGTTCTCTTAACCACTGAGACATCTCTCCAGCCCCGACACTGTGAACTTAAGTATTTTGCAGTGAACTTCAGGGCTTATTTCTATAGGAGTAAAGCAAATTGCTGTACTTCTAACATTAGTAACTCTACCATATGAAATATTATCCATCAATAACTAAAACTTAAAATCCAAAAGTTAAACAACCCCCAAAATCCACACAGAGAGGTACCTTGATTTAGATGTATCTTGGGGATAAAATCACATAAAGTCATGAACTATAGAATTCTACTAATATACTTGAAATAATAAAAGTCGGAAATGGAGATAGACAAGCAGTTGCCTGTAGTTGGGAAGTAGATGAAGAAGGCATAATGGAAGCAGCTGTGTTCATAAATGGGCAACAAGAGAGAAGCCTTGTAGTGAACCCTTGGGGTGACTCAACCGTTGAGCAACCCAGACCTTATCAGTACCAGCATCCTGGTTTTGATACCGACTAGACTAGTCCTGTTTTTCAAAATGGGTGTGTGTGTATGTGGGTGAGTGTGTGGGGGGGTGGTGATTAAAGGTACAAAGGACCCCTTTGTATTTTTCTTAAAATCATCTCCATGACTTCCCTCCAGAAAAAGCACAGACCTCACACCTTCAAATGCAGTCTTTTTTATTTGAGAAGGTCGCTCTGAAAGCAGTGCCCTTTGGGAAAGACATCTCTCATCATGTACATCAACCATTACTCTCAGCAAAGTACAAAAATACACACACCAGTGACTTCCTTACAATAAATACATAGTCATGCATCCCACAATAGAAGGCACCGAAACTGGTCACTTAGTAGTCATAAAAATTATTAGCTACATTAACAAAGCCACCCAAATTATCTGTACAAGGAAATGTAACAATATATTCCAAAGGTGAAAACACATTAAACATCTTTAAAATAGTATGCAATAAATATCTCAATTGTCATATAGATTTTAAAAATTATGCCATTGTAAACAGCATGTAAACAAACAAAACTCACGTCTTATCATTATTAAAAGTAATTAGAGCCAAAGTTATAACCTCTGCTCTGTCAGGTATATTTCAATGGCAAGTGTGCTAAGCAGGTAAAAGTTTCACTCTTTTCTGTAGCAAACAGAGCCCACTGTGTAATAAATAGGCAGACTTTATCTGCATCTTTCAGATATAAGTATTTAGTTTCAAAACAGACTACCAAAATGTAGTAAATTCTTAGCTATAAATATGGCAAGACTAAATTAAAACTACCTTTTGCAATATAAGGAGGAGAAGGAACTATGCTGTTGGGTTTTTACCATGATGATAACAGGAGGGAAGTAAGTTCTGATTATCTTTAGTGAAAATGAAATGAATGTTCTGGGTAGAAGGCTACAGTGCCCAGCCTCCTTGACGCCTTCTCCTGTGGGCCTTTTACAAAGTTGAACTAAGCATAGAGTTATGAAGTTGAGATCTTTCTTTTGCTAAGGGACATAGAAATGTTTGGTATTTTATGATGGGAAACAGTGATTTCAGTATATGCTTACTGAAATGTGAAAATACAAAGCAGAAAACCCCCCACCCAAAACCTTACTGATAGCAAAGATAAAGACAATGTATTTCCTCATTCTCATAAAGGAAACTTATAGCCTACCCACCAATATTTAGAAGTCCATATCATAACTCAAACATTTGCTGTTTCATCTACATCAGAACCTTGTGGCATACAAATACTAGTTTATTACTATATGCTGAGATGCATATGCTACCTGTTAAATTCCATTACTTCCTGCTCTTCATACCTAAGGTGCTAACATCAACCTGCAGCTTCAAACAGAGCTTTCCCACCTCCTAGGAAAGCATGACCGTGTGACCGCCATCCTCTCCTGTGGGTTTATAATGTGACCTCATGTATTTTGCGATGAATGTCATGAATTTCTGCCTTCCCCAAGTAAACCTGAGATTTACCCATTCTATAAAGCAGGTGCTGCTGGAGTCCAGCACAGCCCCTTTAGTAGCAGAAATAGTGCAGTACAGATTTAATGAAGCACACACTTGATCAATGATGGCCGGAACTATGGCTGACATGAAAATTTAACAGCTGTGGAAATAAAAATGGGGTTGCTTCTTGATGACTACGATTTGGTTAGTTTGGGAGGATGGTGGGGTGGGAGGAGACTCGACTGAAATAACCTGAGGAAAAACCTTTAAAAAAAAATCCCTCCTCACTTCTTTAAACAGACATTAGGAAGAACAATTTGAGAATGAATTTAAACTCTACCAGAAAGGAGTCCTGTCTTATTCTCCATCTTCAGCATCTAAGTGAGTGCCAAGGTTATTGCAGGTAGGAAAAGTTTACCAAGGGCCTAAAAGAGACAAAGAACTCCACTTTTACTGCATGCCCTGACTAGTGTTCATCAAGAAATTTATTACTAAGGAAATTTAGCTTAAAGACGGCTGTGCTAACTTTTATCATTGTTTGGGGACATGGTAGGATGGCTTCAGAGATTCATAAAGGAAAACAGGCCTATAGGTAAAAGTAATTTTTTAGTCTCTAGGGTTTTTAAGAGTATTAAATAGTCACAGGTCTTCTTATATTTGTAATGCAATAATCATTAAAGGTAAATGGCCTGAAATCAGATGAATTTTTCCTTTTCCTTCTTGAGTAAATACTTTAAAAAATTTTTCACCTTTATTACTGTCTATATCCTTTTCCAAGTCTCATAATCAATATATATGTCTGTGAAGATTCTAAGTATTGAGTTATGAATAAAAAGACAGATGATCTGTAGGGCAAGTGTATAATTACAAGCAAGATTTTGGCAGTGATGTTGTAATTTATATCTCACTTTTAGAAACAAGAATTCAGATCTGGGAAATACTTCTGATGTAAAGAAATGTGATTAACAAATGATGATCCTTGACAAAACATTGCTTTTGCCCATTGATGTCCTCTTTAATCTTCTCAGAGCATATATCCTTGCAAACACAAGACTCCCAAGGTGTTCTGAGTTTTTATTTGTGACCATATAAAAATATAATTCAAAAACATTAGTACTGTTACATACTAGTTAGATCCTGGGACTACAAAATAACAAAATCAGTGGGAGGTGTGTGTGTGTGTGTGTGTGTGTGTGTGTGTGTGTGCAAGCACATGTGTATCTAAGTATGATATTAACAATGGAACTCTGAATATACATGAAGCATAGATGAAATACTGGCCTGAATGTTAAGCTATCATTGAGATGGATTAAACAAAAACAACTAACAAAATCATGCTATAGGAAGACTGAAGCAAAGCATTCCAAGTTGGAGGCCATCCAACAGTGCTTCACAGACCACTAAATTTGCACTGTTCCTTGGATGAGCTGACCTGTGGCATGCCATTATGCCAAGGTACTGAACCCACACACTGGAACTGTTCCACATTCCTGGGCTAGGCTAGCAAAGGGTAGAGGATGCCCACAGTGTGGCGGGGTAGGCAGCACTGGACTCACTGAGCCGCCCTTTGCTCCCTTGCAGTGTGCTCAATAGCCATTCTTGAGGCAAAGTCCTAAGGTCTCTAATCCACATTGCTAAGGGACGGGAAACCTACTCACGGACTTTTAGCAAAGAGAAGACAAAGCGTGTGTCTCTGTACTCTGGGAAGAGAAAATGGAAGAAATCGGGTTGCTGAACAATTAGCAAAAGGACAGGAAAGAAAAAGAAATGACGAAAGAGGGGAAGACAGTGGAATTACTACTTTAGTGCAACTAAGGAGGTGCAGAACTCAAGACACCATCCGAACTTCTGGGATGGTAAAAAAGAAATATATGGCTGCAATAAATACCAAAAACAACCTATAAAATAACTTACTTACATAATACAAAACCTCCGTTAGGATGAAACATTTTTTCCATATTTTGTTATAAATTCTTGTCAGAGAAACACAATTTTCATAATGTTGTCATAAACAGTGTCATCTTTCTGAAGGTTTGTAAGCAAAAGTTGAGAGGACAAAAGAACTGTGGGTACCAAGACCTTTCTCATGAGCACATGAAAACACTGGTGCTACTCAAATGACATCTGTAATCGGACAAGTGTTGTAGTTAGACTGAATTTCAGGTACAGCAGGGTCATCTCTACAGCAGGTGTCTGTGGCAGGTCACTGGGGGAAATAAATTCCCAGCAAAATGACTTCTCTCAAAGTACCAAATCATTCTAGAATAATCATCACTTAGAGATCTGTCATCCTGAAAGTTGTCATTATTGTGACAGAGAAATAACAGCAACATGCTATGGGAGGCTGTGGTGAAGAAATTACAAGTTGGAGAATATCCTGAGCTACTTAGTGAGTTTGAGGCCAGCCTGGGATATGACCATGTGTTAAGTCCATATCTCAAATTACGAAGAAACTCAAACACAAGGCATGCAAATGAATTCCAGTTCAGTCTTTTTTCCTTATGTCATATAGTGTTAATCTTCCTAGAATCCCAATACTGGGGGAAGGGAAGCCGAGGAGCTCTGAAATATCAAGCTATGCTATAATAACTGCCAGATTTGACAAAGAACGTATCAGAACAGAAAGCAGCTGGTATGGCTTCTTCACTGATTGGCTAAAATCAAAGGAAAAATCAGCTAGTGACTAGATCAAAATGTCATGTGAAAATAAGCTCATGTTTTGCTTACTCCCATCTTTATTTTTTATTTATTTATTTATTTTTGGTTTTTCGAGACAGGGTTTCTCTGTATTGTTTTGGAGGCTCTCCTGGAACTCGCTTTGTAGACCAGGATGGCCTCGGACTCACAGAGATCCACCTGCCTCTGCCTCCCGAGTGCTGGGATTAAAGGTGTGAGCCACCAACGCCCGGCTCACTCCCATCTTTAACTGCAGTCAGATTTCGCTTACACACACACACACACACACACACACACACACACACAGAGAGAGAGAGAGAGAGAGAGACAGACAGACAGACAGACAGAGACAGAGACAGAGACAGAGACCCTTGTCTTCAACTGCAGTCAGCCTGATTTCTAATGAACTTGTCCTGGGTTTCCACGATGGGAATAATTAGGACAACATCTGCTTCTGTTTCTTGAGGGATGTTTTTGGAGGTGCACTGCACAAAGGAATACTATTCCAAGTCAGAGAATGTAGTGAGGAGGCCATGCTCTACATCAGAGATGCCATTTTGGAAGGTGCTTAAATATCAAAACAATAGTATCACAGGAGAAAGCCGGCAAGGAAGCCTGTTGCCTCACTTCTAATCTACTGCTTTCATGATGTGTCTCTTCTTGGGGAAATTACTCTAAGGAAGTATGTGAGGGCCTTCCTGAAAACTATTATCTCAATAAAATAGCCATTTAACATGAAGACAGAAAACCTGCAACTACCTTAAATGTTTGAAGATTTCAGAGTGAGTTTCTAGCTAAAATCAATAATACACAGATTAAAAGACCCATAACCCACTCTGGGCAGATGTTACTCATTCGACCTCATTTTCATTTGTTTGTTACTACTCTTGCAATGTCGGGATTGAACCAGGGCTTCAAACTTGGAAAACAAGCACTCTACCACTGAGCCACTGGCCTTCACTTCCACGTAGAATGTCAGAGGTTACTAGATTTCTTCTTCCTGTTAGAACTGGGATGCCTTTCTTTCTAACTAAAGTGACACTGGGAAAGAAATGGTAAATTAAGTAGGACTCATGCTGATATCTGTTCTTTCTTACAGTAGAAAAATGATAAATTACTACTAACTGGCAGTGTTGGGCAACTCTTTGAATCAGGAACCCAAAAGACACAATGAGCCATTGACAAGGTGTAACCAAATGAACCTCTTGAGAATCCAAGAGTTCAGTTCTATATAAATACTATAAACTAAAAAAAAAAAGATTAAGGAAATGTAACACATTTCAAGGCTCAGCTAATTCATGAAAATTTCTTTGGTGTTCATGAGTCACTTTTACCATGCCCTTTACAGGAACCATCTAGGCCCCTGTGACTAGTTTCCCTGTGTCTACTGCTGAGTTAAGAAAGCACAGACATCTCTATACTGTGAAATAAACATTTTCAGGATCTGCTCTAAATGTCATAGAGATTAGGTCACTCCAACTGCCTCCTTAATTTGCCTGTAAATTTCTACAGTAAAATGGGCTCCTGGGAGAGTTACTTAGCTAACTTCAAGGAAGGACTTCAGACTTCACCAATGGAACACTTTCTGAGGGGCAGTGCCCACCATGTCACCCATTTTATGTGTGCTCTGTCCTACAATGCAACATGAAATATGTTCAAACTCTTTGTTTTAGGGCCTTGCCAAATTGCCTCAAGTTCCTGTATTATCTAGCTTCTAACACACTCTCATTTTTTCTATGCCCCATAAATGCATCTACAACAGTATACTATAAAGTTCTGTCATTAAAGAAAATGAATCCTTAATTTCCTAATAGGTTTAAACAACTCAAAGTTTACCTGATGTTCATATCATAAACTAGAAAACAGTTGGATTTAGGGATTAAAGTGTTTTCTTTGCTTTAAAACATTCAGTAGGATTTTTCTTCTTTCCCTGAAGACAAGTGAATTTATTCTGCACGGTATGCTGTGCAGGTGCGTTTTAAATGTTTGGGGTTTTAAACAGTGGAATCAAGAATGTCTCCAAATGGAAATCATGAAAAACTTACTTAAACTTTCTGGTTATTTGACAGAAACAAGAAGTTACCCACCATAGGTACCGTTTATAGTGTACCCAAAATCAGACGGAAACAGACTTCAAGCATAGGCTTTGGAACCAAGGGCTAGACATCAGAGGTATGAGATCTTTGGGAGGACTCGAGAGTCAATGCTTATTGGAATTGGCCAGTGCAATCACAGACATGTCCCCACCACAGAAATTAAAAGTCTACTTTAAGAAAAGAGTTACAGATTGAAGACATAACATAAACTGGGCAAAATATAGCATAATGGATCTCCTGACTACATTATTCATTTTCGTGCTTTCTTTCTGCTTTGTGCCTTTTTAAGATATAAACACCATTTTGTAGAAAAGTTCCTATGACTGTTCAGTTACCTAAGACAAGAAAGAAAATAGGAAGAAAACACTGGGCATCTGTTTGACAGAAATGAGCATTTCAAGTATATAAGTTAACCATTAACAGAGCTATTACACTCCAGGCAACAGCAGTAAAAATGAAAGGAGCTCCAATAAGTATTCTGTATAAAGAGTACATTTCACAACATAATAAATAAGGGCACTGATTTATACAACTGGTTCTAAGTAATACTGCCTTCAAGGGATGGTGCTGACGCCAGCACTGTCTCACAGAGAGAAATTCAAAGGTACAATTCTTGCCCCCAAAGCCACAAAATATACAAAGCTTTTGTATCTGTTATTAAATATTTTATCTGCCAAAAGTCTTGCAAACTCAAATACATCTTGGCAAGTTTGAATAACCAGTATGATAATTCTTTTGGTATAAAAAGGTAAGAAAACTTGTAATATGAAAATTAATAATACCAGTAAAGGAGACAGCTGTTGTACAAATAGATTTAAACATACAAATGACTTTTCAATCTCATTGAAAGAGAAAAGTCAATGCAATTTACTTGAAGGCTTGAAAACGATTTTCATATTTACCAGCTCCAGATAAATATATTACTTCAATGTATTAGTCATCTCCAGTATACAATATACAACTCACAAGACTGGGCGCGCTGTAATACCCGAACCTTCCACATCACTAGTCAGCAGTTCTCAGCACTATAGCAGCCATCAGCTGCATATGTTTAGTGCTCAGAGTAGAAGCAGAAATGGCTAAGCTGTGTGGAACAACAGTGCAGTCAGATAGTAAGGGTCATAAAACACATTCCCCTTCCTTTTTGGCTAAATACTTAACTGCATTATCCTAGTTTGATAGCATCTGTTGAATATGAAATGTCTTTATTTTAATGCATTTTATAAGCAACCCTGTGTTCTGTTGGTTAATGTATTCTTGAAATCTAGATAGTATGAAATACCCAGACTATTCACAAAGTCTTACACAAAGCGTAATTGGTAGCTAAAAGGAAAATATTTTTTACATGGACTTTTAAATAAGTTTAAAGCTGTGGCTAGGTTTTTATTTTCCAACTAAAACTTGGAAGTGCAAAAAATTAGGAATATATTAAATAATGTAAAATATAGCATCTTAAATTACATAAAAGGAAGTAAGTTGTTCACCTATAATATATAATATGGAGTCTATCCTAAGCATTGTTATTGAGCTAATGCAGTCTTGGCAACTCTGTTTAATTTCTTTACCTGAAAATAACAGAGACAACTACAGAAAAAGGCAGGTACAGTCCAGCTGTCTTTAGTTCTCTGTATCAACAAAACTTTATATATTTTCTTCTAACATAAACATCTCTAAACAAAACCTGGGAAAATAATAAAGAAAAATAATGTTTTGCTTACTATAAAAAAACAATAATTATCACTCTCTAAGAGTTCTAGTTGCTTCTTTGTGAAGGACTCCTATTGCTAAGGTATCATTACCAAAGTCAACCGAGGACACCACAGCAGAAACAAAGGAGAGGAAGGGCTCACTACTCTTGGGGTGGGGCAGTAGCAGTAGGGGAGGCCAGGCAGCCAAGTTGTGGAAGCAACTTAGCAAAGACTATCCCACTGCTCAGCAGCTCCTGTGAGGAAGTTTCACTTCTAATTCCTTTTCTCCCCACCTATGCTGGGAAGAGCTTGGTGTTTGAACATCAACTTCAACTGACAGAGGATGTATCCACTGAGGTGGGAGAGCCAAGAGAGACTTTGGATGTCAGAGGTGGAAAGGGAACTGGTTTTACAGCTAAATTAAAATTGATATCCCCAAACAACTCACCCTTGGAAAATGAAGGTTCTCTAGCTCAGCTGGAGCTGTAAATGATTTACTCTTGAAGTGATGCATAGAGGCATGGTATTGCCTATAATTTCTCAATTCACAGCTTGTCAATTCATGTCAAATTAACCCACAGAGTCAAAAGTAGTAAGACCTTATGTATCAAAGTAGCTAGGAAGCTATGTTTGGTAATTTATATCAAAATAATTAAGGGACAGATTCCTGACAATAAATCATTGCAGGAAAAAAATCTCATTATAGGATTAAACAGTTTGAGATTGAAGGCCAAGAACATTATTTTTCAGGAACGATTTTTAAGAGATTATGAACCCTGTGAAAAATCAAGATGTCAGCATAAGATAAAGAGATCCAAATCTAAAAATATGCCTGCTTTCAGAGTTTAAGTGACACTGACTTTTCTTGAAATCATTTTGATTCTTTCTCTGGTTTTGTTCTTTTGTATACCAAATGACTCATTTAATATGTGGGCTGCTATGTGCCTTCCAGCGTGAACAATGTCAACAGGATAATCTACTGATATGAGAAAATGAAAATGTACAAGTTGAAGGAGACTGCCTAATCTTTATCTCAGTACATATTCTTCTGGAATGTTCAGTGTGAATTAAGTCATGAGCAACTTAAGATACCACATGAGTAACAAACTGAGCCAATGTGGATGGATCAGTGGCAGCTTAAAGTCTCTGAGGAATGGAGAGAGCCGAGAAATGTGACTAAAATGAAAATATGGATTCAGCAGACCTGGGGAGGACCTGAGGTTCTGCATTCAAAAAAATGTGTTTATTTATTATTGTGTGCATATGCATGGCACATGTGGGTGAGCATATCAGAGTGGGTATACTGAGGAGAAAGGACGAATCTATAAGGGGTTTTCTCCTCCCACTTTTATATAGCACCTGGCATCAAACTTGTTGCCAGACCCACTGAACCATCTTGTCAGCTCTAAGATTCTGCAATTTTTGTAAGCTCCCAAATAACATTAATGCTGATGGTCCAGGAACCACATTTTGAGTAGCAATGACCTCCTCCATTGCCTCAAATGGAGTATTTTTGCAATGGTGGAAACGTTCTACATTTGTGGCTACAGGGCACTCAAAATGTGGGTAGTGCAATTAATGAGTGAAGTTTCTAGTAAGAATAAACTTAAATTTAAACAGGCATCCAGTGGCTAAAATGCCAGACACCACTGACCTGAACATCCAGTTTGTCTCGCCTCAACCTCAGTGGTAGATCTCCAAATGACCTGACCCATTAATTCATTCCAACTACCTAGCAAACTGGAAATTTGTTTAATTGCCTGCAACAGTTTGCTAAATGACCTATGACATTAAACAAACAAACAACCAACCAAACAAACAAATCAGGGCGGTAAAAGGTTTCCTAGGGTAATGGAGAAAGGGGAGTAGATAGCAGTGAGAATTTGGGCAAATATGGATGAGTCATTTGAGTCACCTGGAGTTTTACTTAAGCCTGCCTCTGTTCTTTTCTTTCTAAGGGGGAAAACAAATGAGCCTTAAATAACTGGCAGAGAGAAAAGCAAGCTACAGGCAGGTGCACAGGTGAGCCAGTATCTAAGACATACTCCTCTGCACCCCAGATGTGACTGGATCTTAGTGAGAGGCAATGCCCACTGTCCTGTCTTTGAAACCCTACCTTGGATGAAATGGTTTCGTTAGGACAGTAGCCGAGACTGATGGAGTCTCTGAGAGCACTCACTGGCATCCAGCCCTGACACATGGGGACATGGATTACAGAGAAAAGTGTTCACAGGGGACCAAACCGCTCATCCAAATTGTCACCTTAAAGGATTCTTGTCATCTCAAAGTCCTGTACTTAAACTTCCCATGAGTCGGGGGATTTTACAGAGTACATAAAAGGTGTTAGCAGGAACCGAAAAGATTACCCAACAAGAGAAAAGTCAATCACTGCTCACCCCTAGGGAAGTAGCCATCAGAACATTTTTTTTTTCTTTCTGTTGACAAAGTTGTATTTTGGATAAGGTGAAAACCCAACAATGGTTTTTATATTAATACACTCTTTATGCTGGAGTCCCTTCCTTACCCGTAGCCGTTTCTCCTGAAGGATGACCTGAGCGGGGAGAGCTCTGGGAATCTGGCATCTGATAATCTGGTTCACAGGAACTGCTGGCAAGGTACTCACCAGGGGTACACAAAAGGGACTGCAAAGGACACCTTCAACTTCACAGGTATGCACAACACTAAAATTATCAAGTAACTGGCTTATTATCAGCTCAAATGCCCTGACACAAATTATCTTTAGAAAACTTCCATTGTGTACGCCTTAGGTAAAAAATATATAGTCAGACATACTTATATGGTCAGGAACCCATGGAGGTTGTCAGCTGATTTTTTTTCACCCTGCTATGGATGGAGCCATAGCTCTGCCTGTTCATTCGCCACTGAACTTCAGGCCAGACCCTCACTTATTTTTAAGGTATCTAAAATTTGTGATTTTTTTTTTACACTAGTAAATACCCAAGCTAGAAACAAAAATAAAATGTCAAACATTGGGCAAATGATTGTCTAGAAAGTGTCATGGATGCTGTATCTCAAGACAACAGGTAAGTAAGTGCATGTATACAGGTAAAGGTATATGGGTATGCATGTGTACACATGTGTGGGTATATTTATCTACCGAGCACCTAGAAGATCACTTTATCAAAAATGTCTCTGTTGGATCAACAGCCTGCTTGCTTCTCATATACAGAAATTTCTAATACCCCAATTGATTTTTGGCATATAATGACCAGAAAACACAAAGATTTTTTTTTTTTTTTACTTTTTTGGCATCTATACCTTTGGCTTTCAAATACTTGATAATTCTATTGAGCAATACTGACATATAATGGTTTAAGAAAAGGAAAATAATGTCTACCTGACAGGTTATCAAAATGTATGTGAGATAATAATACAAAAAGCCCTTAAGAAACAAAACTAAATTTCTTCCATTGGGGAGTTCATGTCAATAATTGCTTCAGGTGCAAATCTCAGCTGAGGCCTAGGACAATTCCTAGGTGTCAACAGTCTTACAAATTCAAGCAGAAACTCAAAATGGTTATTAAATTGAAATGAAAGGAAAACTGGGAACAAAATGCGAGGATTTGGGTTTGGAAAGTTGTAGTAAGTTTTGTTAGGCAAGAGAACATGTAAAGCTTATGAAAACACCCAACAATCCTCTTAGTGCATACACCTATGGCTTGGGACAGGCAAATAAATTTGGTTTGTGTAAGATGTATATCATTGGTTGATCATGGCACAGATGAAATGTTCAGAGTTCACACTGAGGAAAAGTGCCCTTAACTAGCTAGAAAGTGCTTGGGAAGTTGGGTAGTAATAAATTAAATTCCATTATAACAGATATTAAAGCTACTGAAGCACTACAGCAATATTTCTTGTGACATGCAAGAAAAAGAAAGACAACTCGGGTAGGAACACTGTGTACGACATTTGCTTCATTCATAGTATGTGATGGGTTGGTCTCACTGTATTCTTTGACCAGTGGATAACGGGAACTTAGGGTGAAAAGACTCAAACTACAATTCCTATCGTCACCTCCTAACCGTGTCTAGGAAGGAGCCAAAGCCTTCACTAAGGAAGCCTGAGAAGTTTCAGCTGCACACTGTTAACACAGCTGCAGGAGCACACAGGAACGAGCCTCCTGCTGGCCCCCACCTCTAAGAAGGGAGGATGAGCAAGCAATTCCACCTTTAAACAAGGCAACTGTCTCCCCCATGCCCCTCCCCCAACCCTTCACTACAGCAAGCATTTTCGAGCATGTCAGGTTTGCACAATAATAAAATGGCTTTGTGGAAGGGATTGGGTTTTGGGTTGTTTTTTTTTTGGCACAAAACTTATTTTCTAATACCTCAAATCAAAACTTTCACCCACAGCAAAACATCCATCTAGAGAGGTGCTTCAGCGGTGCTTATCTACCAGTAAATCGAAAGAACAGCCAGTGGCTTCCAAGAACTCTGTATTGAGTCCCGAGGACTTCTCTTCCAGGAAATAGCACCGGTATGACCACACCTCAGACCAAGTTGGGAGGGTTCCTTTCAAGCTCTTTAATTCCCTGGAGAATTCGCTTCATATGACCCACTTTCGGTATCCCCAGGTCCTAAAAAAGAGGGGGGGGGGGAGAAAGAAGACTGGATGTTAAAATCTCAACTAGTAATTAGCATAATTAGCATTTACTTCCTCTACAAACAGTTTACATTCAATGGTTCTGGAAGTGACTGATAGAAAACTAAGCTAATAAAACAGAAATAGACTGATATTGAAAAAAGTAATCAATCAATAAAAAGATACCATATCCCATACAAAATCCTCTTAAAGGATATCTTAAATGTGGTATCTTCATGAATTATGTATAGCTAGGGAAACTGTTCAAGAGTCAAAACTTAAGACGGTTTTTTCCTTCCTTTCTTTTTTTAAAAGACAAGCCTCTCTTGTGACCTGAGGCAAATGATGGAGGACAACAGGTCTTTTAAGGCGCATGCTTTTACCATGTTTATGCACGCGCGTGCGCGCGCGCGCGCACACACACACACACACACACACACATTCTATTATATTTTTATTTAAATTAGAAACAAGCTTCACATGTCAATCCCAGCCGCCCCCCAATACCCACTCCGCTTCCCAGGGAGGGTGAGGCCCTCCAAGGAGGATCTCCAGAGTCTGTCATTTCATCCAGGTCAGGGCCTGGGCCCACCCCACCATGTGTGCAGGCTGAGAGAGCATCCCTCAATGTGGGATGAGCACCCAAAGTCCACTTGTATGCCAGGGATAAATACTGATTTACTACCCAAGGCCCCATAGATTGCCTAGGCTTCCTCATTGACACCCACATTCAGGGGGTCTGGATCAGTCCCATGCTGGCCTCTCAGACATCAGTCTGGGTCCAAGAGCTCCCCCTTGTTCAGGTCAGCTGTTTCTGTGGGTTTCATCAGCTCAGTCTTGACCCCTTTGCTCATCACTCCTCCCTCTCTGTCACTGGGTTCCAGGAGTTCAGTTCAGTGTTTAGATGTGGGTGTCTGCCTCTGCTTCCATCAGCCACTGGATGAAGGTTCATGTTTGTCTTTTTGTGACTGGGTTACCTCACTCAGGATGGTTTCTTCTAGTGCTGTCCATCTGCCTGCAAATTTTAAGATTCCATTGTTTTTTTCCGATGAGTAGTACTCCATTGTGTAAATGTACAACACTTTCTCTATTCACTCTTCAGTTGAGGGGCATCTAGGTTTCACCCAGGTTCTGGCTACTACAAATAATGCTGCTATGAACATAGCAGAATGGACATCCTTGTTGTATGAATGTGCATCTTTTGGGTATTTGCCTAAGAGGAGAATTGCTGGGTCTTGTGGTAGACTGATTCCATTTTCCTGAGGAATCTCCATAGTAATTTCCAAAGTGGCTGTACAAGTTGGCACTCCCACCAGCAGTGGAGGAGTGTTCCCCTTTTACCCCATCCTCTCCAGCATAAACTGTCATTGGTGTTTTTGATTTTAGCCATTCTGACAGGAGTAAGATATTCTTTTTCTTTTTCCTTTGGAGACAAGGTCCTGCTATCTTGCCTGGCCAGCCCTTGAAGTCTTAGCGATTCTCCTGCCTCAGCTTCCCAGCCTCTAGAATTAAGTGCCACCATTTGCACTTGATTTATATCTTGTACCATATTAAACTTAAAATCGTGGCTGCCGGGCATGGTGGCAAATGCCTGAAGTTCCAGGATTTAGGAGACTGAAGTTGTAGACAGGGATTGAAATGTCATCCTTGGCTATATAGCAAATGAGTCTAGCCTGGGCTACACGAGGCCCAGGCTTTGGGGAGAAAAAAACAAAAAACTGAGGCTTAAGCCTAGAGGAAGATTTGAGTGCCCACTATCTAAAACTTAAGTGGTAAATTTATTTGTAGTTGCATCAGGAGTCCTGATGTGACTGGAACATCTGACTATGCAGATGTTGTGGGTGCGTGCGAGCGTGCATGCATGCGTGCATGTGTGTGTACATGTATGAGTCTGGGCATGTACATGCTACAGTGACAATATGGACGAAATTCTGTGAGTTGGTTTCTCCTCCTACTTCTCTGAGGCATGGGTTCTCTTATTTCAATTACTGTTCAGTTCATCCCAGGCTAGCTGGCCCCAGCCCTTCTAAGTGATTCTGTTTCTCTCTCTGTTTCCTGAATCCCCCCTTCTAAAAAAAAAGTTTACAAGATGACTTGTTTACAAAACCGAAGTGTTCTAAGAAGGTTCACTTGGTTCTATGATATAAGGGCTGGATTTGTTTTTAAACTTATAAATGAAGCAGATCAAACTGATCTAAATTATATACATGGAAACAGCATACACACTCTCTCTTACACTTCAGAGCAGCAATAGTAACCATCATTTTAAATCCTTCTAGAAAACAACTTCGCTATAGCCAGTGCTAGTCAAGCTTGAGATAATTTCAGGGTAACATTTTTATCAAACTTAATTGACCAAGAAAAACAAATGTTCTCCTGTGCTACCAGGGTAAACAAAATTAGTCCTAAAGCTCTACACATTTCATGGCTATGTGATAAATATCAAACTCGAAGCAAAGTTCAAACTCATGTCTGCTGCGTAAATTTGGAATGTAAATGAGCATTTTAATGGGGCTGGGTGAGTATTCTCAGTGACTAAGAGCGCGTTACTTTTCCAGAAGACACAAGTTCAGTTCCTAGCACCCATGTCGAGTGGTTTACAACTACCTGTAATTCCAGCTCCAGGGACCCTATGCCTTCTGCTGGTCTTGTGAGTACTGTATATATGACTTATACTCATACAGACATACACATAAATACAAAAATACATTTTTTGAAAAAAGAATGGAAATGCTACACTTCAGAGTTCCCATTCAAGCAGAAGACTTATCCTTTAGACTTTGTAATAATATAGCACTCTACTTTAAAATATATTTAAATATTAAATATCTTATTTTAGGTCATATAAACACTGCATTCTCCAGAATACAAACACCTTTGGTGTTTGAATTACTGCTTTGGTACAAAGAGAGGATTGTTTTCTAGAGGGTAAGGCAGTAACATTGGCTTCTTAGCTACAGTTTCTTTGATGTATCATCATATCTTCTAGTTATTATGTTGTTATAAGAGATTCACTTTGACATTTATATAGCTGTCATTTTAGCAAATACCACATGCCCGTATCATTGTATACTTAGTTTTCATGTGGATGTGTTTGTGTGTGGAAGTATGTATGCAGACAGGGGTGTGGTTTGTGTGTGCAGCCAAAGATCAACACAGAGTGTCTTCTTCTTTGTCTTTTTCTGTTTGTAGGACTACGGTGGCTCCTTGCCCTCCAAGCAGTGTCAGCAGTGGCGCCCTCTAGTGGCATGGGCCTCAAGTTGAACCCATCATTGGTTGGCCATTCCCACGGTTCTGAGCCACCTTTACACCAGCACGCCTTGCAGGCACAAAGGATTGTAGGTTGAAGGTTTTGTGGAGGGCTCAGTGTTCCAATCCCTCCACAGGAAGTCTTGCCTGGTTTTGAGATAGGGTCTCTCTGAACCTGGGGCTCATTGATTTAGCTAGATTCCTTCTTGGTCTCCATCTCTCCAGACCTGTATACTTATTGTATTTATCAAACTCCTTATTTCTGACTTTGTGTTTCTTTGGATGAACAGACAAAATTTTGTCAAAGACTGTTTTGTAGATACTGAGTTATCCTTGCAGCCACCCATATACAACTTTCCAGATGTGGGGGAGGGGCAGGGAGCAGCCCTCTGCTATGCCTTTACCATCTTCTCTGGTAACCCTCCCTACTGTGTTCCAGCAGGGGAAGGGTCACTGCCGGCATCCCCCTCTGCTCAGGCATGTTAGAAATGTTTCTCGTTGCCAAGTGTCAGGCATTATCTTGGGTTGTTTAGCACTCTCCGGTGATAAGGAAGGGTCACTTAGTCCAACCCCGGGAGGAGCTAACTGGGTGAGGGGTGGTGAGACAAACAGGCAATGAGGACATATCCTCGTGGTCAGAAACAATATTGTTAAGCGACTGAAAGGAGGCCAAAGTGGATGGGTCATGGGCCAGCTACAAGAGCGTGAGCAGAGGCAGGGCCTTTGGGCCTCCACAGAGACGGATGCCATTATTCTCCCAAAAATGAGAAGCTGCTGGGAGATCTGAAGCAGAGAAGTTAGCATACTTGATTGAAGATGGCGACGTATCATGGTGCTGCAACATGAACTGGAGAGACAGAGGACCACTGAGAAGACCAAGATGAAGCTACTCATCTTCCATGAGAAGGTGGGATGCTCAGTGTGAAGGAAGGTCCTGGGGAGAACCTAATGGGGACGATGGAGCAGAATCCAGAGTGTAAGAGTTTGGCTAGAATGTCATAAGGGATCAGGAAGAGGGAGGTGCTAAATCTGACCCTGGTGTCTCTGCTTCCAGCACCCGAAGGGTTAGGGGCATAGTTCAGAACAAAGCAGAGCTGGGGACAAGGCAGAACAGGGGAGGGACAGAAGATGAGAGTCCCTCTTGAGATATGGTAAGGTTTATACCCCCGGTGATACTCAAGTATCAGCAGCCAGTTGGCCACAAAATCCTAAAGGTCACTAAAGAGGTCAAGGGCTGGAGGAGACTGTGGAGTCAGAGCTGAAGCAATGGGTGTTGGGTGAGAGATGACTCTGCAGTAGGAGATTCTTTCCCAGCGTTTTTGAACTACTCTATGGTCTGCTGTTTCTGACAGCTCAGACACAGACGACAGGGAAGTGGCTCTCCAGTTTCATGGCTTTGTGCTCCAGAAGGCTCTCTAAAAATGTCTTCTTTCCATCACCCATGCCCCATTTTAGAACCAGAAGGGGTAAGTGGAGACACAAATTTCTAAAGGAAAGTGTCCAGGGAGAAAAACAATTGGCATTAAAAACACACACACACACACAAAAACCAAAACCAAGTCATGAAACACGAATGAGAAAGTTTAGCCAATTCTTAACTGTCTCCTTTCTTCTCTTGCTTTCTCTCTCTCCCCACAGGTGACCATCACTCTATTTGACTTCTGCGTATGAATGGATTTTAACATTTGGCAAACATTTGCTAAACTCATTCAATCTGTGTACAGATATGTATACATTTGTGTGTTGAGTACATATCTATATATGTATTCACATAACATGAACATGTATGTATATGGGTGTGCATATGAATGATGTGAGCCTCTAGAAGGCAAATGACACTAAGGGACCCTAGCACAATCCATTAACAAGCAACTGACTATCTCAATAGATATTGCACCCTGCCAATGTTATCAGGAACCACATAAAACACTAGTCATAAAAAGGCCCTGTTCATATGTCATGTGTGTGCACATGTGCATATATTCTTTTCAAGTCTTAAGGTCAATCTTTGCTCTATGAACTGAACTGTAACAGTGTACTCTAAACTGCCTCAGTTAGGACATATGGAATAATTTAATGTATTATTTTATTATTATCACAGCTAACAATGTTTAGACAGGAACAGTATTCTACAAGACCTCTGCTAAATTATGCAGATAAATGCGCAAGAGTTAGGAATGAGCTAGAAAAGTCATAACTCTATGCATTCTAGAATATAATCTATAGGTAAGGGATTGTTAGAGCAACGTTATTTGTTGTAGTTTAAAATGGCAGCATGTGGGGGGAAATCTAACACAGTGAACTACTACTGTGCATGCTTCTCTGTGTGTGCATGCCTGTGGAGACCGGAAGTTGATGTGTGCCTTCTTCCTCCATCACTTGTGACCGTCGTTTTTGAGATGGGGTCTCTCACTGAGCTTAGAGGTCATCGGTCAGGCTGGCTGGACAGAGAACCCTCCCGTCTCTAATTACTCCCAGTTCTGACTGTTAAGACATATGCTGCCATACTGCTGTTGTTTGCATGGGTGCTGCGGATTGGCCTCTGTATCCCAAACTCGTGCAGCAGCAGCAGCAGCAGCAGCAGCTCTCTGGCTCCTATCATTCTAGCCTTAAATCCTGGACAGAGTAGCCCTGCCTTGGCTATTGTGCTGTTGAGTATGTACCCAAAGAAAACCAGAAAATTATTGCACACCAACAATGACAGGTTTTCCTGCTTTGGCATGCATGACTGAGAAAGCAGTTAGGCATACTTGTAGCTCCATTTACTAAGAAAATAATGTTATTTCTTTTGGGGATTATTAAGACATTAACAATGTGTCATGGAAAGGAAGCTTTGATTTACTGATCTGGTTATTCGTGTGATCCCTAAAGTCCAGTTTAGAAACACAACAAAAGTATAGGACTCTTAATTATCACCACTGTTTCATATACACTGTCATATAATAGAAAGACTTTCTTATTGGTGTTTTACACGATTCATTTTTAGTCTTTTCCAACAATAGCCATCACCATCCATGCAGCTGCAACACAATGAGGTGGAAGAAACATGACCCACTTGGAAACGCAAGGACAGTAACAGCCACACCAATGGACACAGAGCAAAGTTATTAGGTACATGCTGTGCCTCAGCCAGAATCAGAGAAAAATCCTCCTGACATTCTCACTGGAAAAGCACGCAAAGAAGTCAGACCACCGACAATGAGTGTGTGAGATGGCTGAACATTTGCATAACACAAGCCAAGCTGAAAGCAGATGACAGAGGACACACAGGAGTGAAGATTTTGTGTTGCAAGAAATGTTCCAAAACCAAAGAGAAGCTCAAAAAAAAAAAAAAATACCTTAAGGTCTCGTCTTTCCAGATGCAAAAGTTCAGCCCCTCTGATGTCATGACGGATGAAGATCTCTTTGTACTCTCCCAAATTGATCAGATCCAGCCAAGCAGCAACTTCCTCTGTGCCCCAATTCTGAACTACCAAAGTTAAGAGCAAAACCCCCTTAATTTCTACATGCGTGATGCATTACGAAGCAAAAGGTCGGCCATAGAAGATGCGAGACAGACAGCAGCAGTGCTAGCAAATGGGCAGGTGGAAGGCAGTGGGTGCTTCAGGAAGCTCTCCTCCCCGCCCCATGCAGGTTACGGACCACCAACGGACACGAGGAGGACGCGACTACACAAGGAAGTGTGCCACCTGGACCCACACCTCCAGCTGTGGTCCAGCTTCTCATTCAAACCACACAATGTGCAAGAGGGCACTAATCTGCACCATTAGAATCGATGATGCAAAAACCATGCGCTCTGATACCTTGGCTTAAAACCACGGATGAAAAGGTTTAGTTAGAAGAGAGCTACAGATGTTACCTAAAATTAGAATCCGATCTGGGCTACTTGGTTTTACACATTTTTCTGCTTGGGTCTTGCCTTTATTGACTCTACTGTTATTGGCAATTCCAACAATAAATGGCTACAGATTGCTTTAACGTAAAAACTGTTCAGACTGCTATTCAAGACTAGCTGGATTATGCTACTTTTCAATAAGGATGATTGTTTTTTTCAAAGCTGTCATTCAGCATGAGTTAACATTTTTCTTGGCTGTGTTTGGTTTTTTAAACACTCCTCAACAACTATTCCTGTAGATGTAAGGTTTTATATTACTTTTTATAAAGATCGCTAACTCAAAAGAATCAAGGGGGGCATCAAGTTAAACTCTGAGGGAAGGGAACCAGGAAAGTAGCAGGGTACAGAAGCAATAGGCACCGGTGTTATCAAGGGGCGGCTCACTGTCCTTAAATCCAGGAAAAGGAGGGTTTGTAACTTCAGTTAAAGAATATATTTAGCAAGCTGAGTAAAAGAAACTGTCTTTGTCCCCCTTATCAAAATGATCTGGGATTTTAACTGTGAAAAGAAAATGAAGTTATACACCGATGTCTGCAGCAACTGTTGAGAAGACAGACATACTGACTGACTCACCCAGACAGAACACAAAGAACCTGATGACCACCTTATCCTCTCATTCCATTGTAACTACACATTCTCACCAATAGCTGGACATGTTGGGTATGATATGACTTGCATGGTTCAATGTATCATTTTAAAGTGTACAATTCAATGGTGTTCAGTATACTTACAGTGCTGAGAAATGCCCACCACTACCTAGTTCTAGAACATTCTTCCCATCCCCTCGCTGATACTTTTTCAGTAAATTATCTTTCCCCCATGATGGAGCTACCTACCAGGCTGTGAACTTGTTTTCTGTTTCTGAGCCTTTTCCTTTTTAAACTTTGGCACGATACGAAAGACTGTGCTTTTGCTGTTTCTTTTGGTGCAATCCATAGGAGGTTCCTGTTTAAAACAAGCAAAAAAAAAAATCACTGTTTTAGGAGGTTATGGGACAAAAACCCCATTCTGCTAATGGAGATAAAATAAGAATGGTGTCCTAACTAGGGTTTACTCTTGCTGTGATAAAACACCATGATTGAAAGTCACCTGGGGAAGAAATGGTTTACATTTCAGCTTACACTGCCACATCACAGGCTTGTTCATCATGGCTTGCACAGCCTGCTTTCTTATAGAACCCAGGACCACCAGCCCAGGGGTTGCACCACCCACAAAAGGCTGGGCTTCTCCACAACCCAACCTGATAGGAGCATTTTCACAATTGAGGTTCCCTTTTCCCAAGCAACTCTCTCTCGTGTTGACATAAAAGCAGCCAGCACAAATGGGTTCTGAATACACAACATATACCACTCTATTAAACACCTGTGTTCACCAAAAGACTCCTCCCTTAACAACAAAACCTCTCTAAGTGGTATTCAAAACCCATTTTCCTGAAATGTCTCTTCTTCAAAAGTAAGCCCAAACTCTACAGTCTGACTGTTTACATCCATCAGTAGGCTGAGTTTTCCGTACCTCATCCTCATTGGGGCGGAGGATGTAATAAAGCCAGGGGATCTCCGTTAACTTCTGCAGCTCCACCTCCACAGAGTGTAAGGCACTGGACACCCGCTCTTCGTGGGGAGATTCCAACTGCTACTCACCGACAGGGGGAGAAAGGAAACAAAACAAAACATCATAAAACAACGGGGCCATTTTGAGCATCCTTCCTTCTGATGTAAGCTGGTAGCTTTCGCTCTAGCCCCCAATCCCAAAGCTGACATGTATAACTGGTGCTGAGTAATTTCCCCTCCAAAAGTACAGCTTTCGGGCTTTCTTGGACGGGATACCCTTCCCCACTGTAACTTCTGCCTCCACGGTTTCCAGGCACATTATCTGTGAACTATCATATTTGGGTCAAAATTCTTCTGACTTACAGACTTTGTTCCATGAACAAATAACAGTTTTGAAAACCTCAAATACTTGTCATATAAAAAGCACATCACAAAAAATAATCTATAAAATCAAAATAGCAAGTTTAAGGGAAAAATGAGTCTCAGAAAAAATTTGGGATGAAGAATTATTACATTAGGATAGAGTCAAAAGCTAAGGGGCTAGTAATCTTGACTGGATGCATAGCTGTTGAGAAGATAAAGACCCTTTGAACGGACACACCGACTCCAATGACTTTAGGCACCTTAGTTTCCTCTGTGTTAGAAACAGCACGATGTGACTAGAACATTTCTGAGGGCATTTTCAGCTAACCAATACCTTTACAGACCATTTTAAACTCCACGGTACCTACACAGAGATGTTCGCAGAATATTAGAAAGGGAAGTTCTGAGATTATCTTTATGGTTTATAATAAGTATCTTTTTGCTGTTGATTCTCCATGATACTGAAAGTACCTCCCAGTAGTTAATGAAATAGTGAGATTTTCCACTCTACTGTATGACATTTACCATTTTTCTTTTAGTATAAGGAAAGTGATTAGATGGTTTTTCACATCTGTTCTGGAAGTAAAATGAGAAAAATAAACTTTAGTTGTTCTCAAATATAATAAACCTGTTATTGTCGTATCATTATTGCTAAGAGCTTGGGTAAAATTTACTGGGTCATATTTCAAAAATATCCATATTTGAGGATCACAGGGAATTAGAAGTAGGGGGGATGTCCTTGTATTTTAACAAAACATAACCACTAAATATAATACATAAGAGCAAAGGAGACATTTTGTTGTAGAGGTATCATAATGACCTTACAAATCTTTTAAATGACACACACAAGTACTTCCATTTAAAAATTGGGACCTTAATCAAAACCCACAGGATTTCTGATGGGCTTATTTTGGAAAAAGCAATAGAAGATCTGGCTAACAAAAGTAGTGCCAACCATAACCTAGAAGGGGCCTTCACCGATACAACAACAGTAACCAATGCTTCTTCCTAGCGGGAGCGGTGACAGCCACCCTGTGGCCTGGGAAGCTGTGTTTCAGTTGCCCAGGAGGTGGGGAACAGTGCTGGCCCTAATGGAAGCCTCTAAGGAGGCTCCAGTGGCAGCAAAGTGCTGGACCACCGTCACAACCCAGCAGGAAGTCCAGTTCCCCAATCCACCACTTCAAGTACTGTGACGTCCATGACCTTTATAATTTTATGTAAGTTTATATTTTCCCAAACAGGTGAAGCTACTGCAAGAAGAAATGCTCTGAGATCATTCAAAGGGAAACAAGGAAGGGAAAGGCAGCTAATGTGTTAGGCCTTCCACACACCCAATGCCACAGTCCAGCTATAGGTGATGAAAGATTCAATGTTAGAATATTCAAAAACCATTCAGGTGTTTTTACAGAAAGAGCTGGTCTGTATGTATGCTCCAGGTCTGTGGGCTTTAGGCAGATTCACATTTTCTTACACTTGATTTCTAGGGCCAAACTGAGTTAAAACAGAAACAGTGCTTGAAACACAAAGCTAATAGAGCAAATCTGGAAGACCATACCAATCATATTTCCAATATTCACTGGGAAAATGAAACTGTGATTTCTCCTAAATTTGTACACATACAAACAGCTGAGGAATGTCTACTGTCCCTTATACAGCTCACATCTCTCAAAGCAGACCAGGGAGAGAGGCGTGGCATGAGAACATGACAGCCTAAATCTTAGCTCTTGCTTTCCGAAGGCGAAAGTTTGGTCGAAAGGGAGGGTAAGGATGGAGGCCAGAGACCTGCTCAATACACACTCACTAATGAAGCAAGGTTCAGAGTCTCATTTTGCCATTTGCACAACTGTCACAGTTAGCTTCAGGTGACAACTTGACACAAACCTAGAGTCACATGGGAAGAGGGAACCTCAAATGAGGAATTCCCTTCACCAGACTGGCCTGTGGCCGTGTCTGTAGGGCATTTTCTTAATTGCTAATTAATGAAGGAGGGACTATTCTTAGTTGCTTATTAAGGAAGGAGGGCCTAGCCCACAGTGGACAGAACCATCCCCAGACAGCAGGCTCTGGGCCACTGCACTGAGCATGGGAGCTAGCTAGCCATGTCCCGCTAGGGTCTCTGTTTCATTTCCTGTCTCCGGGATCCAGCCCTGACTTCCTTCAGTGGTGGATTATGACCTGAGAGTTGTAAGATGGAACAATCCCCTTCCTCTCTAATTTGCTTTGGGTCATAGAGTATCACGGACAAAGAAGCAAACTGGAATAGCTAGTGAGCATTTCTTTTCCTTACCAAAGGAACCCTGCCAACCAGCAAGGACTCTGTTTCATTATACAGCGCCTTGACGTTGATGGCTATTTCAGTGGCCGTGTCTCTTGTGAGACTCTAGAAAAAGAGTAACAAAGACATATATTCCCATATTACATTTCCATTCCATCACCAATAAACTGTAAATTTTGTTCTCATTATTAGCAATTATTAAAAACAATACCAAAATTCTCCAACAAATTCAATTCTTTGCACACAGGTTTGTTAGCATGATTATTTCTGTTAGTTAAATCACCAAATTGAAAGAATGACCTAAAATGTATATATGCTCAGGCTCACATCTCCTACCCACAAGTACACAGATGCTGGAACCAAAATACACATATTCCCATAAAAGTTAAATCAAAGAAACTTATGTCTAGAAAGAAGCTACTTGATCATACTGATAAACTTTGCATATCATGAGTTTGAACAGTGTTTGTGTGTGTGTGTGTGTGTGTGTGTGTGTGTGTGTGTGGTCCAGTTATGCACACTTTTGTAGATTTGTGGCCATTTGAAAAATCTTGAAGATGAACTTCCTAGACAGGAAATATTGAACAAAATTAAGAAAAAGTTAAAATAGGTCATGAATACATAAAATACATGCACAAATTAAACTATCAAAATGTCGGGGTTGGCAGTCACAAAAAGACAAACATGATATGTACTCACTCATATATGGAGTTTAGACATGAACCAGGGGAGTGCCAGCCTACAATCCCACTGCCAGAAAGTCTGGGAAACAGAACCTTCAACCAATGACTGATGGAAACAGAGGCAGACACCCACAGCTAAACACTGAGCTGAACTTGAGGAACCCAGTGACAGAGAGGGAGGACTAATGAGCACAGGGATCAAGACTGGGCTTGTTTAACCCACAGAAACAGCTGACCTGAACAAGGGGAAGCCCTTGAATCCCAGACTGATGTCTAGGAATCCAGCATGGGACTGATCAAGACCCCCTGAATGTGGGTGTCAGTGGGGAGGACTAGGCAATCTATGGGGCCTTGGGTAGTAGATCAGTATTTATCCCTGGCATACAAATTGACATTGAGCGCCCATCCCACAGTGAGAGATGCTCTCTCAGCCTGGACTCTTGGGGGAGGGTCTAGGCCCTGCCCTGGATGAAATGACAGACTATGGAGATCCTCCATGGAGGGCTTCACCTTCCCTGGGGAAAGGAATAAGGATTGGGAGAGATGGGGGAGTTGGTGGGAGGGTGTAGGAGTAGGGTAGGGAAAGGGAGCTGTGACTGACATGTGAAGCAACCTTGTTTCTAATTTAAATAAAAAAGAAAAGACAAAAAATGTCAGGGTTGGGAGAAGGCTCATCAGTTAAGAGCACTGCTGTTCTTGTAGGACTCATCTTCGTTCCTAGCACCAAGTCAGACAGTTCTCAGCTGCCTGTAACTCTAGCTCCATGGAATCCAAGACTTTCTTCTGGCCCCCTGGGGTACCTGTAGTCAACTGCATATACCCCAACACAGGCACACAAACACAGAGACACACATACAGAATTAAAAATAAAATAGGTATTTTTGAAAAAAATATACTCATGTACTCAAAAAATAGTGTCATCTCAGTTGAGGGATGTGTAGATCATTGTGAAGTGCACTATTAAATCATAGCTTGGTGAAATGAACTGCAGAACAGATTTTACTTTTGTAATCATGTCAGCTGTTTTCAGTTGCCTCTTGTGGTGAGCTCACATATTGATGGCATCTGTTTAAAATTCTATAGGACACAACTTATCTCTGCCTGATCAGTTATCCGGGAAATTATGTATTGCAGTAACAGTGCTCTCTCATGATCCTTGAATATCTTTCACCCTATGCAATATATAAAATATATGTTAAGGGCACTGGTTGAGCTTCCAGAGGACTTCCAGCACCCACATGACAGGCAGCTCACAATCATCTGTAACTCCGGTCCCAGGGGATCTGATGCCCTCATCTGGCCTCAAAGGGTACTGCATATAAATGGTGCATGAACATACATTCAAGCAAACACTCATACACTAAAATAAATTAAATACACGTAATCTATGATGCATACATATAAAATATAAGTAAGGAAAATCATCTAAAATGTGTGAAGTGACTTTAGCATTACTGGTCACCATCAGACAATTACAGTAGTCAGGCTGTGAGAGCGTCAAAGGCCATACACAGATTTTTCTACTGTGCAGAGAAGGCGGAGTCCTCTCGCCCTCCATGTTGTTTCAAGGATTCAGTGCAGTTCTATTTTCACTCGGTAGTTCCAAATACATTGATTTTTGAACTTTAATCCCCAAAAATAACATTTAGTTGAACATTAGTTTGGGTCATTTCAATTGCATAATTAGAAAAATAATGGTATCAGCTTTCCCTAGACTTTCCCATTGTACAGTAGCTCACACTCCAGGAGTTACACTGTGAACTCTCCTTTATCAACACCAACGCTAAACCACCAAAGGAAGCATCAACTTACAATTCAGCAAAAAGTGAAGTTCGGCATCAGAGCACAACTGAGAAATGGCTGAACCTCTCCAACCAAGCGCATGCGCTCATTTCTAGGTTTGCCCTTGTTTAGGGTCAGGGGAGAGGGCAAAGGGAGAAGAAGGAGATGACAACAGATGGAAGATGTTAGCCCGTGAGATGACTCAGCAGGTAAAGGTGTTTGCTACCCAGCCTGCCGACTGAGTTCAATCCCCAGAACCCACATGGTGGAAAGAGAGAACCAGCTCTTGCAAGTGGCCTTGTGGTCTCCACATGGGTTCTGTGGCTGCCCTCCATCCCCAAAATGGATGGATGGATGGATGGATGGATGGATGGATGGATGGATGGATGGATGGATGGATGGATGGAATAAAACAGTAGAAAGACTTGAAAGGAGATGTTAAGGTGGCAAGTGATTAAAAGTGAAATAGAAGGAAATACAGAAAATTTAAGAGCAGAAATTATAAAAAAAAATGCAGAAAAAGGCAAACAAACCCATGGTCACAAATTTAATATAAGTACCTTGTAAAACTCATGAAGAGCCTGTCCTGGTTAGCTTATCAACTTGACACAAGCTAGAGTCCTGAGAAGAGTAAACCTCCATTGCCAGAACGCCTCATCAGACTGGCCTGTAGTCTGGTCTGTGGGGCATTTTCTCGGTGGATGACTGATGGGGGAAGACACGGACAAGCCAGCCCATTGTGGTTAGTGCCACCTGGTGGGAGGTGGCCCTTGGAGGTATACGGCAGCTAAAGTGAGCCCGAGAAGCTGGCCAGGAGGCAGTGTTTCTCCATGGTGTCTGCTTCGGTTCCTATCTCCAGGGTCCTGCCTGAGTTACTAAGCTAACTTCAGAAAAGACTGTGAAGCCAGATAAACTCTTTCCTCCTCAAAGGGCTTTTGGTGAGCGTTTTTAATCACAGCAACAGAAAGACACTACCATCTTTCACAAGAGAGGGTCAGGTCTCTACAATAGTTTACAGTAGCTGAAATACCAAAAGAATCCGCGGAAAGAGAATTTACCATTAAGTCCTCACCTCCGGGAAGCGGGGGTTGGCTTTGTTCAGGGCATGAGAGCATGCATTTACGGCATGAGCCAGTTCCTGCTCCAGGAGACAGTGAATCGTGGCTGCGTCACAAATCCTGAAGGTAAAAAGGAGGCAGAAGAAACAGTTTGGGGCATTGCTGAAAAGTAAAAGGCCACAGCGTGTGGCTTTCAAGTGTCCAGGACATCCGCTTGCTTCCTGGTTTACTGAGGAGCTGGTGCTGTCATCAATTACACCCCAATGCAGAAACTGCCAATGCACCACACCAGAGGACAGCTTGCCATACTTATCACCGACATGCCAACTGTTGCATACACATTTTAGAATTTAATGTTAACAGCCGATGATGATAGATTTTCTCAAGTCTGCAGAAGAATGCATGGAGGCTCACAGAGACTGAATATGTGCGCAGAGCCAGTATGTGGCAGGCTGAGAAATTGTCACTCTCACTTGGAAGCTAAGTTAAGTGAGGAGGACTCGAGGATCTTGTCACAGCCTCTCTTCCACTCGGAATAGTGCCGCTGCGGTGATTTTTATAGTTTTTGTTTGTTTCTTTTATTTTTTGAGACAGGGTTTCTCTCTGTGTAGCCCTGGCTGTCCTGTAATTCAGTATGTAGATTAGGCTGGCCTCAACCTCACAGAGATCCACATGCTTCTGCCTCCCAAATGCTGGAATTAATGGCATGTGCCACCACCACCTGGCTGAATTTTTATGCCTTTTACATTCATCAAACTCATCTTTAAAAAGATCTCTTCCCTTTCTGTCTAGAAGGATAACTGTGTGGTCTCTAAATCTTTGGTGTGTATTACCAGAAACGATCCTACAACAGAAATACTAATGAAAAGTGCGCTGTGTGGCGAGGCAAATTCATCATAGTTTTCTAAGCTATGTAAGATATAGATTACAGAGAGCACGTGTGGAAGACCTGACAAAGGGGCCTAAACATGGCTGAGACCCATGGGAGGCAACGAATGAAAAAGCTAACACATCCCTTATTAATACCCTAAGCAGCAAAAATGACCTTAAAGAAGAAAACACAACTGACTAAGATAAGAGTTCTCCCAGGCAAAACTCCAGCAGAAGCGCTTTACCTAGTAATGAGTTCCTCTGCTGCCTGGGAGCAGAGCCGCATCTGAGACACCTCTTCTGTTGCCAGGTCAGCGGCGGGATGGATGTACAGGTTGGTCCGAAGAACTGGCTTACCAGAGTCACACTTCTGCTTGTCTTCCCAAGACTTCAGAGTGCTCTCAAAGGCCTATTTAAAGCCAGGATTGCAAAGGATGGTTACGTTAGAGCTCAGAGACTAACATAACTGATTAACCATATATCTACATCTGTGTGTGTATGTATGTATGTATGTGTGTGTGTGTGTGTGTGTGTACAGATATAGATGCATGTATATACATTCATATATATGAATATACATTCATGTAAATATATTCATGTATATATGTGTATATATATATACACATATACTTGTGTATAAATATAGGTATATTCATGTGTATATGTGTGTTTATACAGATATAGATATAGGTATGTATATATTCATGTGTATATATATACACACACAGACATAGATATATGGTTAATAAGCTAATTAAAATATATAACATACACATACACATTAGATATATGATAGCTAGGTATTACATGTAAGAGTCTGAAAATCGGAGTGCTTTGTTATACTCTAAAAACTCATTAAATTGGTGAAAGGGATTTTTTCAAGTTTTTTAGTGTATCACATCAAAGAGAGAGTAATGTGACCAACGAAGATGTTTATACTACTGATGTTGTGGAATATTATTTTAACTTCAAAGATGTGTTATATTTATTTATGTGGTGGAACATTATTTTAACTATGTGAGGGTATGTTATATTTCTTTCTGCTGCCTTTGTTAATGATGTAAAGATGTGTTACATTTGTTTGTGCTGCATTTGTTTAATTATATAAATATGTGTTTCATTTGTTTTACCTTGCCTGCCTAAGGCACCTGATTGGTCTAATAAAAAGCTGAACAGCCAATAGCTAGGCAGGAGAGGGATGGGGGGTGGCAGGCAGGGAGAACAAATAGGAGGAGAAATCTAGAGGGAGAAGAAGAGAGAAGAGAAAGGGGGAGAAAGAGAGAGACACTCCTGGGACTAGAACCCAGGTAGCCAGCTAGACACAGAATAGAGCTCACCGGAGGGAAGGAGGCAGGCAGGCAGGCAGGCAGGCAGGCAGGCAGGGAGGCAGGGAGGCAGGGAGGCAGGGAGGCAGGGAGGCAGGCAGGCAGGGAGGCAGGCAGGGAGGCAGGGAGGCAGGGAGGCAGGGAGGCAGGGAGGCAGGGAGGCAGGGAGGCAAGGCAGGGAGGCAGGGAGGCAGGGAGGCAGGGAGGCAGGGAGGCAAGGCAGGGAGGCAGGGAGGCAGGGAGGCAGGGAGGCAGATAGGGAGGGAGGCAGGCAGGCAAAACATAGATGATTAGAAGCAGGTTAAGCTGAAAGAGCAGTGGGACATCACAAGACAAAGCTGAGCATTCATAGTTAGTAACAAGTCTCTGTGTCATGATTTGGGAGCTGGTTGGTGGTCTCAAAGAAAGCCTGGTACACACTGAAATTAACAAATAGCACTCATGCTTCAATCTTTATTTATTCAATTTGTGATCAATGCTATTTTATTTTACTTTATTCTTATACTAGATAATATAAATACTGTGGGCTGACCTTAATTAGCAACACTTATTTGGGGAAATATCAAACTATGGAGATAGGAGAGAGATGTTTGAAAGAGTGTGTGTGTGTGTGTGTTTGAGACAGTCTCACTGAATAGCTATGGCTAGCCTAGAACTGAATTTATAGACCAGACTGGCTTGAACTAACAACCTGTCCCTGCCTACAAAGTGTTGGAATTAAATGGGTGCCTCCATGTCTGGCAGTTAACAATATATTATTAGATCACCAATTGTAAAAACTGCACTGCTGGTACAAAATATCAGCAATGGGAATTTATGTGTGCTGGAGGTAGATGGAAAGATATATCTAGGAATAGAATTAGAGTTCTATGCACTTTCTGCTTAATTCTTGGTAAGCCTAAAAATTGCCAAAAGATAAATTAAAGTAAAACTGAGTAAACCTTCGCTCATACTTAAAACGACAGTGAGCCAAATACTACACATGTGCTAAGTGGCACACTTAAGAGATAATTCCTTTCCATGTTTTCTGTTCTTTTGTAATTTCCCATTTTTGAAAAGAATCTGATAAATTCCAGAAGAGTGTCTGGAGGACAGAGAGACGGTCCAATGTACAACTCTTGTAGAGGACCCAGCACTCACATCAGATGGCTCACATCACCCGTAACTCCAGCTCCAGGGAGGGGCAATACCCTTTCTTGACATGTGGGGGCGCTGCACACTCAGACAAAACACTTCCCAACACGCACATGATGAAAGATGAAAAGTACAAGACTGTTACGTACTCTGTCTCTTGTTAGCATCTGAGCTCTGTTTTTGTGCACAATTTTGATGATCCCTGGAGGCTGAACCCAGGCTTCACCATCCACCTGCACGGGGACTCCCTCATCACCAAATATAGTGATCTTTACCGTGCGGCACTGAAATAAAGCCAATATGTTATTTGAGAACACAGATCAGCCCGAGTCTCTGTGGAACAGAACATTAAGCTTTACCATTGTGACAACGCGGTGACAGTGACATGACAAAAGCCAGCATTTTACGGAAGCCTATCAGGGCAGCAGTCATCTGAGACAGCTTCCTTCTATGCTCTATGACCCAAGAAATATAGTGAGCTGTGCTCTGGGAAACCAACCTGTGCTATCCGGTGATGCTGCAGCTTAATGACCCTTGATACTGCCATCTGCACACTGTCAAAGACGGCGACAACTTCCAGGATCTTGTCATCAAATGAGGGTGCAGCAAATATCTAAAAGGGAACATTGACTGTGCTCATTTCCATCTACGGTTTAAGTAGAACAGAATACCAAGCCCCCAAACCCTGCCATACAGACACCAAAAGCCTAAAAACAGATAGTGAAGAGGCAAATACAGCCCAAGGAAGTAATCACCAAAGACAGTTTAAAATAAGCATACTTCCAAAAAGGGTTTCAACACCCACACACAGTATCTAATCGTCTCATCCAGCACTCTTGGGACCAACACATTTCTAAACACTTCATCTTGATATGAATGTGGCAATACTTCACTTATAATTGGTAGACATGTTGATAAGATGACAAATAATTTTTGGAAATCTACAAGGGCCCAAAAGTTGACGCTGATGAACATGGAAACCGTGATCCTGTGCACCTGACATGTTTTGAAGACATTCTGTCTAGGTGTCCTGAGCTACACACATCTGTGGTATTACCTTTTTTAAAGGTTTATTTTCATTTTTCTAGTTATAGGCATGTGGGTGTGTCTGCATGTCAATATCTGCACGTGAATGCAGGTGCATGAAAAAAGTGTGTTACTTTTTATCAACTTGACAAAGCCTCCCCCCCTCCCCGGAAAGAGAGATGCTCAATGGAAGAATCTCCTCCATCAATCAGACCGGCATGTAGGCATGCCCATCAGGCGTTTTCTTGATTACTGGTGGATGTGGGAGGACATGGTCCTCTGTGGGCAGCACCAGCCCTGGGTTGTATAAGACAGCAGGCTGAGCAAGCCACGGGGAGACGAGTCAGTAAGCAGCGTGTTCCATGAGTCTCTGCTTCAGTTCCTCCATTGACTTCCTGCTTACTTCCCGCCATGGTCGACTGTGATTAGGCCAAAGAAACGGTCTCCCCTCCTCTAAGTTGCTACTGGTCATGCAGTTTACCAAAGCAATAGAACAAACTAGGACTTGTGCCCAGAAGCTGCAGTTACAGTGCTTGCGAGCCCGTGCCGGGTGCTGGCAACTGAGCCAGGGTCCTCTGCAGGAGCATGAATGTTCTTCACTGCTGAGCCACCTCTCCAGCCCTGTGCCTTATGTCATCATATGACATCATCTTAGGGCTTTTGTGAACATGGAAACAAACACCCAGAGGGCAAAAATTCCCCGGGAGTCCTCTGCTTTTATGTTAAGTGCATGCTCACAACACCGATTCCAGAAATTGAAGTTTATCCACAGTCACTGTTCTGGTTACTTTCCCACTTGCTCTATTATAGGCAATTATGACTGAAAAACACTCACTCTAAAAGTGTATTGGAAATATGAGCCCACAAACGTGCTGACACTGATAATTTCTTCTGCTTTCTGTTGTCAGACCACCTGGACTCAAGTCGCTCCTCTGTTAGCAACTGTGGAACTTTGTCGCCAATTTTTCAGGCTAACTTAAGAACTTATGGTTTGAGAATGTAGCTCAGTGTTACGGGGTCAACTCGTATGTGCAGGGACCTCAGTACTGATTCCTGGTACAGGCATGTGCGCGTGCGCACACACAGGCCCACAGGAGAGGAATAAAGGAAAGAGAGAGAAAGGGGAGGAGAGTAGAATTATTAATAATGACCATGGGGCTCTTCTGAGTGCCTGTGGGTATTCAGGAGTGTCACACCTTCAGAATATCTGAGTGATGACTGACACGCTGACAAGAAGAATGAGTGAGTCTATTGTTATTCTTCAATAGAACCAGAATCGATCCACGCCATGAGCATTATACCTTGTATGTTCATTTAAGCCTCAAAGTGAAATCGGCATAAGATTTTCATCATCTTTCTGTGGTATGCCCACTTCAATAATTGTGCTTTTTTTCATTCTTTTCAGAGCAACTGTATTTGTTCCACACAAACATGACTGTTTCTTTCTTTCATAACACAAAGGAAACAGAAATAGTCCCACACCTTCCAAGGTGTGGTGGTGTACACTTTTAATGCCAGAACCCTGGAGAAACTTCAGAGTGTATTCATGAGCAAGAATGTTGACTTAAGATGCTATGAATTCCATCTCACCTTGCAAATATTGTCAAACATTTGTCAGGTAAATATTGACATGACATTAGTATCACAAAGCACATTTTTAAAAGTTAGACATACTGGTAATTTTATTCCCGCTGAGTAAATAAACACTAACTACTTACATCATCCTCTTTGGTTCCGCCCCAGAAGTTGGTGCCTCCTGCGTAGCTAGGGATGTTCAACACTGCTATGCCTTGTAAACTGGGTAGAGGAATATACTGCCCATCACACTGCAAGGTAAAAAGCCTGGAGATTAGAATGCCTATAAACTCAGCACTTTGGAGTGGACATAGGAAGAGCAGAGGGGCTCATGGACTTCCTCATCTACACAGCAAGTTCGAGGGTAACCTGGGCTACCTGAGGCCCTATCTCAAAAATAAAAAGCTCATAGGTCAGACAAAAAGAGCAAGACTGTTACTCCAGAGTCACTGGGACAGGAATGTGCTCACAGTGCTTGCCTTCTTGTAAACACACTTCCACATTTTACATTCTCCCACGTTACAAAGAGTTTGAAACAGTGTAATGTGTCCACAGCGCCAGCTTTCTTGTAGATAAAGTCTTAAATATTACAAAGGCCATCATATCACTTTTTTCTTAATTAAAACATTTTTAAATATAAATAACCCTTTAAAAAAAGCTGGACAGTGGTGAGTCGTGGCACATTTTTAACTCCCAACACTAGGGAGTCAGAGGCAGGCAGGTCTCTATGAGTTGGAGGCCAGCCTAACCGTGTACGAAGAGAGTTCCACAACAGACACTGTGATTACACAGAGAAATCCTGTCTCAAAAAAAAAAAAAACCAAGGGGAAAAAAGTATAAACAAAGAAGAAATTTTTACAAAAATTGAATTAAAAATATGTTTTCCTTCATCATTCTTCCCAGATCAGGCAGCACTTTTCTTGAATCTCCTTCAGATCAGTTATATAATTCTAGCATAGTGGTCCTCAACCTTCCTAATGCTGCAACCCTTTTACACAGCTCCTCATGTTGTGGTACCCCAAGCATAAATACTTCATAACTATAATTTTGCTACTGTTATGATTGTAATGTAAATATCTGTGTTTTACAACGGCTTTGGTGACCCTTGTGGAAGGGTTGTTCAACCCCCAAAGAATCACAACCCACAGGCTGAGAACTGCTGTTCTAGCCTGTATTGCTGAGATATCTCTGTGCGTGTTTTAGGTACTCTGCTGAATGCAGGCCCTGTATGAGCAAGCTATGACTCCCTTTCCCCCATCTCTCTCAGAACCTCTCACAACTGGGTACTTCCCTGGGTTTTGTAACTAACCAGCAAGATTTAAACTGAAAGCTGAGGGGGGGCTAATGAGATGGTTAGGTGGGTAGAGGCATTTGCCACCAACCCTGACAACCTGGGTTCAATACCTGGAACTCACATGTGTATGAAAAGAAGATACCCCTCAAGCTGTCCTCTGACCTCCCCATGCACACTTGGTGCACTTGCACAGATGCACATGTACACACATGTGAGCACACACGCACGCACACACACACACACACACTCAATAAAAATTTTTTAATCAAAGCTGTGTTGTTTATGTAGCTAGATGCAAAGGCAAGGAAAACCTATGTATATTGAATAGCACTGTACACTCCCACCTTCTAATTCAACTAAATGAAAATTAAATTGCCACTTAGATGGGAAATGGGAGTTATGACTGCTACAGTAATTATACATAGTGATTACTGAGTAGATTCAAAACTGACATTTTCATAATGTTGTTTCTCAAATGCATTTTAATGTAATGTTTTTGTTTTGTTTTATTCTATTTATTCATTCTTAAGTAAAACTTAGATACTGAGATGGACATAAGCAGTTAAGGAATGGAATGTCTGAGGAGACAATTATGTTTGAGCATTACACTATATATAATGTACCAAAACAATGTTTTATGTGTCAAGATACTTCAAATTACTTTGAAACATCCCTTATGATCATTTTAAATATTTAAACAGAGTCATATAAGGTTTATTTTTATTTTGTTTATTCTTTTTGCCCCCTTTGGTTTTTCAAGACAGGGTTTCTCTGTAGCTTTAGAGCCTGTCCTGGCACTCACTCTGTAAACCAGGCTGGCCTTGAACTTAAATAGATCCTGCCTGTCCCTGCCTCCCAAGTGCTGGGATTAAAGGCATGCACCACCACCACCCAGCAATATAAGGTTTTTTTGTGAACATTTGATGAGGTTAAGCCTTCATTTTAAAAGAAACATATCTGTAGATACCACGTGTAAACTAGATGCTGTGTTTCCAATTTAGTAATTCTTACATTAAGACACTCATTAAAAACTACATTTTAATGTCCAATTAAAAGGATTGCTAATCTTTAAAACAAATGAAAATCCAGTATGAACCAGCTTTTACAAAGTAAGCAACCGAATTTCCTCTTTACCCACGTGCCTATTCACTGCTACATGGATTTCTTACCATCATTTCTTACCATGAGGCCACAGGGCTAACCATTAAACTGGGAGCTTATTTCTCATTCAAAGACCTATACCGCTTCCTAGTACTCAGGAACACACCTGGCACTTAGCTAGCACTCAATGTACAGCTGGAAAGGAAATTAGTATGAATCATTTAGTAGAGCAAAGAATGTGTTAGCAAAAACAGCTATCTTTCCTTGAGAAAGTGCTACTTACAGTCACACAACTACCTTCAGAAGCTATTTTAAAATGCTAGCTTTGTAAATGTAATGGAAGCCGTTTCGTCTTGTTTTGTATTTTTAAAAGAGGGTCTCACTCTGTATCCCAAACTAGCCTGGAATTTGCAGCAATCCTCCTGCCTCAGCCAGTCCTCAAGTACAGGGTTACAGGGGTGCAATTTTTTTTTTCAGGGTTACAGGAGTGCAATTTTTTTTTTCAATCAGGAGAGGGTTAGGGCTGAAGAGGGAGTTCAGCCTTTTAAGAGCACTGGCTGCTTCCAGGGAATTCAACTCCCAGCACCCACATGGGGCTAACAACCGTCTGTAACTTCAGTTCCAGGGAATCCAGCGTCCTCTTCTGGTCTCCACAGACCCTGCATGTACGCAGTGCACATGCACACAGGCACAGACACATAAAGTATTTTAAGAATCTAGAGAGGCTTGTAGAGGTTTTACAAATGATTGTAGTTTATTTGCATCCACTAAGGATGAACATTCCCCCACGCACTGCTGAATTTAATGTATGTGCACTGAACACAACCCCCAGTGTTATGCGCACAATCTCTTTCCACAGAGTTCATGAGGACACATTGGCAGAATGGATTTGATAAATTAAGGCTACATGTCTGAAAATGTCTCATATTCTGGAAAAACTTCAGGAAATGTGTGAAAACAGGAAGGTGGGAGAGTCTTCTTAAGGAGAGGGAAGGCCCATGACAGGGTTAGCATGCTTAGGGCTTTATGTGTTCAGATGTGGGGTAAAGGGAAGTTACAGTTTGGAGTCAAAGCTCAGACAAGTTAGCAGGCATGAATACTTGGTTTCCATTGCCTTTTAAACTGGAAAGGAAAAAGCTCTAGGTAAGATGTCTTTTTTGGACCAGCAACAAAGACCACTTCCAGAAACAAAGACCATTCAGCCTCAGGGGCTGACAAGTGCATTCTGTTTTTCATTTTTCACTCCGTAAATGTCCATGAAATAGTCAACACCATTACACAGCAGCCTTAGGATCAGGACATCAACCAGGGGCCAAGTAAGCATCTGGAGTATGTGTGAGGTTGGCAAGCCCTTGATAACTTGTTTAGATGGGTGGGTGTATTACGTGGCTTTGTAGTTGATAACTTGTTTAGATGGGTGGGTGTATTACGTGGCTTTGTAGTTGATAACTTGTTTAGATGGGTGGGTGTATTACGTGGCTTTGTAGTTGCTCTCTTTTTTTTAAAGAGAGGGTCATTCTATGTAGCCAAGGCTGGCTTGAAACTCCAGACCTGAATGTGGGCAACTGCCCTGCTTCCATCCCAGAACAGCTGGAGTTACAGCCATGTGACACCAGACCAGGCTCTGAATGTATTATTTTTGAGCCTTCCCTCTCCCAACTAATTATGATCAGACTCATCTGTAGGGAGCAGAGGAAGCCCTGGGTGAGTGAAGTCCTAAGTGAATGTGTGCTGCTGACATAGGCACAGCCATGTCAAGGACTCCGTTAACCTAAGACTGAGGTAAAGGCTCAGAAGGAATGGCCTTCCTCAGGGGACTAAGTGTTCGTGTAGCCTGTACGTGCACAAAATGTCCACATGACTTTCTGCCTGCTGGATATTTATGGCACGAAGAAGGCACACTGACAGCATGCTCGTACCAAGGTTAGCTGATCCTGTCTTCTGGATCCAGCTGTTTACCGTAAGTCCTGCCTCCTTGTTTATCATCATGTAATAACCCTGCCTCCCTGTTCAACTCTGTATGCTGCTAAGCTCCTGCGGTGCTGAATTTCTCCTGCTGAGAGCCTGGACCACCAGACCCCAGCTTTCTGTCCATGTGTCTGCCTGTCTGTCTGTCTGTCTGCCTGCCTGTCTGTCTGTCTGTCTGTCAGTCTGTATTTCTTCATTCCCTTGTGCCCCAATCAGGTCTGTCCCTGGAGCCATGCTGCGAATGTCACTCATCATAAATTGAGGAGCACATTTCCTTGCCAGATTATCAATCCACTAGCCACTTCTGCCTCAAGGCAGTGTCAGCTATGGTTTTACACAATAAGGTAAACAACAATGATGATAGCACTCTACCTGTTCTTAAGGATTGTGATCAACTAGGGACATGGATCAAAAATGAAGGAACATGATACAATACAACACAATACAATACAATACAATACAATACAATACAATGAGGACTCTTAAATTGACTTGGGATGGGACTGTGGAAGAGAGAAAGAGAACCTTTGCAAAAGGTAAACCTCCCTGATTTTGCAGTCACTTACCTAGTAGTCTCTATTTTAACTTTACAAGCAACCATGAATCAAAGCAGCTGATTGCCTAGTGATACTTTTAGAGTGGAAAGGACCAATGGGCTTTTCTTTATGACAACTAGTGGGTAGTGACTGAATCACTTGTTCAGCTTACACCCCAGTGTTAAGGCTAAGACAACAATACCCAGTTTAGTTTATTTACCAGAGCATTTAAACCTGTTATAATTTTCTCTGTATTAGTGGTATGCTTTAAATAAAAAAAGTTCTCATCATAAAAGGAAATGAGATATAAAATACATGCCCTGGACGAAGGATAAAGGAAATTAAGTTTATAGTAATTGATAGACTCCAAGGATTCCCAACCATCATTTTCATGCTACTGCAAGAAATTAAATAACTTTTATTGTCTGTAAGTTTCTACTTAAATTAGAAAAGATTGTCAAAATTCCATTTTTAACAGAAAAAATTGGATCAAAATAAATGTATATTTAAATTAAAATGTGTGCACTGCAAGTACCATTTTCAAGGACTTTATAAAACATTGGGCAAGGCCGGGGCAGTGGTGGCACACACCTTTAATCCCAGCACTCGGGAGGCAGACGCAGGTGGATCTCTGTGAGTTCAAGGCCAGGCTGGACCGACAGCCTCCAAAACAATACAGAGAAACCCTGTCTCGTAAAACAAACAAGCAAACAAGCAAACAAACAAACAAACAAAAAAAACATTGGGCATTGTAGAATTGGAACAAGAGAGTGAAGAAGTTCATTATTAAAGACACCGTCCCACTTAAGTACTCGAAAGGCTCCATGTTGGTAGCCCCAGCTTAAAGAATGAATGAGGTTGTTGAAGGTTGAGCCTTTGTTTCTACACTGGGTTGACACTACCTTCAGAATGCATTTAATCACTAACCAAGAGGAAATTAGGTCAACTTAACTCTAAAAATTAGCTGTGTAGGATAAACTGAAATGTCTTTGCTTCAAGATGCACTCACCTCAAGTTGAACTCTTTGTTCCAGATTTTTGTATGATCTCTGTAACAACTCCCGAGTCCCAAGGACCCCATACCACATCAAGTTTTTAGTTCGGCTTCTAAAAAATAAATATTATGCAATCTCAGAAAATGTTATTTATTTACTCCTTAAAGCAAAAGATATAATAAATGAAATTAAAGTAAGATTGCCTCCACGTAACAACATTATTGCCATTACTGAAATTACCTGCATTTTTCAGGGTGTTCTTCTCTCTTATTATTAAATTCTAATGAAATTTTTGCATCTAATCCAATCCCAAAGTAATTGTTCATGACACATTTTTCTGAGTATCCATCTCTATGATAATAAGGGAAAGTACACAGAGTCAATTTCAGATTCATAACAACACAGTTTATTTACACAGTTGGACTTAACACCACTTAAGTGTCCATTCTTCCTAGAGGGTTGGAAAGCACAAGTCATTCTATGCGTGAATGCAAAGCAGAGACAGTCATGGCTTTGTTTTCTATTTAATCTGACAGCCACAGACAGTGCTGACTACACAGACCAATGAAGGGATCTACGGGAGGAATCTGAAGTCCAATGCCAATAGTCCTCTTTCTTAATCATGAGCAAGTCTCTCCCGCTCAACCCTTAAAAGTGGACAGACAGGAAGGCAAAACTTCTGAATTCAATACATTATTGTTAAGTACTGCCAACAATTGTTTTTTATTTTTATAATTACTTTTTTATGGGGTGGGTGGGTGTTTCACACACGCCATGGTGCATGTGTGGAGATCAGAAGACAGTCCGCATGAGTCAGTTCTCTCCTTCCACAACTGATAAAGATGTTTGTCACCCAACTTGATGACCTGAGTTCATTCCCCATGACCCATACGGTAGAAGGAAAGAAGTGATGCCTGCAAGCTGTCCTCCGACCTCCAGAAACATGCCATGACATACACACACGCACATGCACACACGTGCACACACACTCCTACATTAAAAAAAAAAGGCCTGGTGGTGGTGCACACCTTTAATCCCAGCACTCGGGGCAGAGGAGGCAGATCTCTGAATTCCAGACCATCCTGGTTTACAGAGTGAGCTTCAGGACAGCCAGGGCTACACAGAGAAACCCTGCCTCAGAAAACAAAGCAAAGCAAAACAAAACAAAAACATACAAAAGAAAAGGAAAAAGTACTTCAAAAAATAAAATAACACATAATAAGGGTGCACACAAGACACCCTGCCCCAATATACGGGACGGAAAGCGGTGGAAAACTCTCAGCTTCAGATTCTGGCCACCACACAGCTACATGCACACCCACACTCATGCATGTGCACCCATACACACGTGTGACGGACATACACACAATTTTGAAACGAAAAAAGTGTATCTCACATCATGGGAGTCTAAAGAGACGGGACGGATGTGGGTTAGACCTTGACACAAGGAAAGGCGCAGGGGGATGTGGGAAGATGGCAGGGTTAGCAGAAGGGCAGGGGATGACGTAGACACAGGTGCAAACTGGGACCAAGGGACCCTTCAGGGGGAGGCACACAGTGCTGCACCAGAGAGCGGCTGCTCAACAGCGGGTGAGAAAGGGACCTGCCTCAGGGACAAATCGCAGAGCTGGTCACTATCAACTTCTGAGCATGCTCGCCACGCTTTCTGCAGATGGAAACATACACTTGGGGCACATGCAAAATGTCAGGATTTGAACAAAACAGACCCCCCCCCCCAAAAAAGGGTGAAGTCGAATAACTACAAAGTGTTTCTTACAGTGAATCAAGATCTGGGTCGATAAACGGTGTTGCACCAAAAGGGTCGATGTTTGCCAGCAACATTTTGTTGATGATAGAACTCCCAGCAATCGAGGCGGCAAGTCCTGCTCTTAAACCTGACAGAAATACATCACATGATCAGAGAAAGGAGAGACAAATCCGGTCCACTCAGAGCCTGGCCTTGTCCCCAGCATCTTGCTACCAAAGCTAGTGACGACTCAGTAGCCAGCCAATGAACACTCAATGATCACTCCTCAGTGACCACTCCTCAGAGACTACTCAGTGACCATTCACTCAGAGACCACTCCTCAGTGACCACTCAGTCAAAGCACAAAGGGTGACACTTAGAAACATGAAGCATTTCAATATTTCCAAACGTCTATATGTTGTAATAGAGAATTATTGAAAGAAAAACATGAAAAGGAGTATCTGTGATATTTTCTCACTTAACATTCAGCAATTCTACAATTTTTAAGTTTTCAGTATTTCACTTCCTGGGTTAAATATTCCTAAGTGTTTTGTCATTTTTGATGTAATTTCAAGTAGAACTTTATTCTTAATTTCACGGTCAGATTGCTCAGTTGCAGCATATAGAAACATGATAAAAATGTGATCTTTGCATACTGATCATTTACCTGTATCTTAGTATACTCACTTATTAGATAGTGGTTTGGATCTGCAATCTTAGTATACTCATTAGATAGTGGTTTAGATCTGCAATCTTAGTATACTCACTTATTACATAGTGGTTTAGCTTGCTCGAGCATGTGCATGGATGTACATGTACACATGTATGTATCCCTTGGGGTTTTCTACATGCAAGATAAATCTGGGAAGATACACAGTTGCTCTTTTCCTTTCTGGCTTTTCTCTATGTAGTCCTGGACATCCTGGGGCTACCCTGGAACTTACATAGATCTGCCTGCCTCTGTCTCCCAAGGTGTGCGCTGCCATGCCCAGCTTTTCTTTCTAGTATTTTATTTTATTTCTATTTCTTCTTGAAGGGAGTTTTTAGTTCATGTGTTTTAGGCCCATTTCCTCTGGGTTCATACTTCCATCATAATCTTATCTATTTCTCTTAGCTCCAGAATGACGTCTCAAGACTTCTCTCATTCCTGATTTTAGTGATCTGACTGTTCACTCTAACTCTTTTCATTTTCTGTTACTTTTTAATTCTCTGATTTTCACTGTCATGTTTGTTACCTGCTTCCCCTGTCAGCTGTCATCAGTTTGCTCCCACACCCCTTTACCAGGGTGGGTGTCAGGTGACCCACCAGAGGCGGATACGCATTTTCAGAGTGGCAGTTACAGCTGCACCACCCGCCATGCACATTTGAACTGCAGCAGCGAAGCTCTAGGCTGGTGATTTCTGTTTTCACTCATCTAAGTATTTTCTCTACTTTACTAATTAATTATTTGCTATTTTCTCTAATTTATTTTCCCCCACATCTTTCCAGATCTCATTCTCTTGTTGGTGCTTTCACTCCATTGTACTGAGAGTAAGCACACAATCGTGAGATTTTGATCCTTTTGATTTTACCGAACGGTTGTGACCTAACTGGCTAAGGCCTGTCGTAGAGAATGTTCTACAAACTCTTGACAAGAATGTGGTTGGGTGTTCCTTGGATGTTGACTGGATCCTATTGTTTCAGGTGACCTCCAGGCACTCTATTCCCCCATCATCCTTTTGGTCCACCATCTGTCTAGTCATTCTGTTACTATTGAAAGGGAGGAACAAATGTCTCCAGCCCTTATTTGCATTATAGAGCTCATTTTAAAAAAGAAATTCCATGAGAAGCTACTTTTCAGAGTCTAAATAGATTCCAGCATTCTATGAATGAAGATCAAAGGAATTTTAAAACCACCATAAACTTGCAAATTTCTGAGATACATATACTTCCCCAGTTCCTTAGGGAGCTCGAGACATGCATTGTTTTCCTCCAGCTCTTAACCACAGTCTCTGTTAGCCCAATCCAAGGTAAACTCATTTCATCAAGGCTGGAACAGATACTAGGCTAAAAATCTCTGCAGAGAAAGTAGAGGCTTAAAACCACAAGGAAAGCTATAGTCATGCTTGGAGGTCACAGAATGGAAGGTAAGCTCGATTCAGGGACAGGGGGTAAGCTCAGACTACTGAACTCCAACCTAGAACCAATGGACTAACATTTCTCAAGGTAGGGCCCATGTGTTTGAATATGTCCTATGCAGTTAGACATGGAATATTCTAAACTGGTTTCCTACGACTAAGTTGGGCAAGAAGTCTCTTAAAGGAACATTTATCACTAAGAACACTTTAGCTCATGAGTAAGAGAAGTTACATATTTTCAGAGATCTACTGAAACATACACCATGTCACACAACTGTACTACCTGGGCAGATTATTCTGGTGTTGAGCACAGGGAGATTTTCTTTGGTGGTGGCCATAGCTGAACCAGCGACAGAATCAGTTTGGAAATGGCCACGAATTGCCTGGGCCTCAGGAGCCTGAGATGTGGATTTGGCTGTTGACAAAAAGTTCAGATTAAAAAATGGCAAATAAAACCAGTATAAAATTAAACAAAATTATAAACAACTTTATAACTGAAAACACACAACAACAAGCAGATGCCTATTTAAATCAATGAGTGGAACTGAAGATGATAGTTATATTTATCTTCATTTTATCATTTTATTTTCATTTTCTTGAGATATTTGGAGAGTATCTACCAAGGGAGATACATTGATCTCTGGTTTTGAGTAGATGCTACCAGAACACAGATATCTACCATCATTAAAATTCAATAATATGCTTAATTTGAATGTGATCAACCCATACTTGATAAGTAGAAGACTTAAAGCCTGATGACCATTATGATGGACACTACCAACATTACCTATTAATTATGAATATTGGGTAAAATGTTCACAATCAAATGATCTGACTCCCAATGGGATATATGAATGCATGTGAAACAGGAGATAATACAGTCTTCAATTTAATGGAGACACTCGGCTGGGACTCAGATCAGTGCATCACTTAACCCTCATCAGAAAAGCTTCTTCTTGCAGTAGATGGCAATTAACACCAAGACCCACAACTAGACGATGCATGGAGAGTCAAAGACCCTGGGGTATTCAGTCCTAAATGAGATGCCTTTACCAAACTCCTCTTCTGGAGGCTCAGGGAACCATGCAGAAGAGGAGGCAGAAAGATTCTAAGAGCCACAGGTGGTGAATGGTTCCAGAGAAAAGCGTGTTCCAGACACCATGAGGCTGACACACACATGAACTCAAAGAGAAGGAGAGGAGACATCTTGTACAAGACTGGCGTGAAGTGAAATCAGACAAAATACCACGATGAAGAAGGGGAAGCAGACACAGGGTCCCACCTCTAACCAAGAGGCTATTTGCAACCTGGTGGGGAAGAGAAAAAACTCAGTTTTCTCCAATGGAGTGTCACCGGGTAAACCAACCGCACTCCAGGGCATGCTCTAGGTCCAGGAGTAGGTGATCAACACAAAACAGAACTCCCTGCATGTGTGTGCATGCATGCTTTTTGTATTTTGTTTATTGTATTGGTTTGTTTGGATCTTTGTTTTTGTTGGGGGAAGAGGGAGGGAAGGATGTTTTGTTGGGGGTGAGAAGACAGGGAGAGATCACGAAATTGGGTTGGTAGGGAGGTGGGGGGATCCGTGAGGAGTTATGGGAAGGAATATGATCAAAATATGTCGATTGTAAAAATACTGTTTGGTTGTTTGATACAGCGTTTCTCTGTGTAACAGCCTTGGTTGTCCTGAAACTCACTTTCAAGAACAGGCTGGCCTCAAATTCACAGAGATCTGCCTGCCTCTGCCTTTTGTGTGCTAGGATTAAAGGTATGCATCACTACCACGCAACTACAAAAATACTTTTAAGAAAAAAAAAGAAAATAAATGGAAAGATATCACTTATCTTCCAATAAAATCAATGTACAGGACTTGCCATCATTTATTCAAATGATGATAAGCTCCAAGTGGTTTTGTTATATTCTTGTAAAAGCTCAATATAGTTAACATACTCAAGAAAATAAGAAAAAAGATTTAATTCTATCTAATATAAGGCAAGTTAGTAATGGAAAAACAGCACCTTGATATAATCTAGAGGCCATCAATAGGTATTAAAAAAAACCAGTAGTCATTAAATTCAATTTAAAAGTACTCCAAAACTTAATTATCCTCACTCTCCCTCAGACTAATTATAAACGTAACTACATTAATCTTGCATGCTATTTTCTCTGATCAAACACTGTCCAGCTGCACAAAACTAACAGAGGCCACTCTGTTGTGTGTGACAGACAGGACTTCTGGGGCTAATCTCTGATGCAGAGCAACTTTTGATGTTTACCTCTGATAAAAAGCAGAAAGTGCACTAATGACTAAGATCGATGCTCCGCTGCAGGGAACTCAATTAGTTCTTCATGTTTCTTCCTAAATAAAGCATCACCTTGAACACATTAATACACTGTATTTCTCACATCTCAGACATCAATTGCATAATTTAATAATGTCACAATATGGATGATTCAATAAAAGTACTGATCATTGAACATGGGAACACTGCTATTGTCAATGATTTTCAGTAAGCGGGATTATAGGCAAAATTGGCATCAAATGTGGCAACATTAAAGACTTTGCTAAATCTATGCTTCCCTCTCTATTGAACACTCTCAGTGTAGTATCTTTTAGTTTCCTTCCTAACTAACGGAGATGGTGAGTTTATAAGAGTATGGTAAAGTGGAATGATGGCTGGTTGGAAGTCATAGGCAGTGACTGTACACATATGGAAGAGAGCAAATGTATGGATACCCTGCTGTTGTAGCCAAGTAATTTTAACAGGTGAAAATACCAAAGACCTGATTACCAGTTTCACAGATAAAGTACATTGGAGGTGACAGAAGAATTAAAAGATTTTTAACAGGAAGAAATGATAGGTCCAAATTAAAAAAAAAAAAACCAGATGAAAGGTCATACAGATGAGGGAAAGCTATTGCAATTTAATTTGAAAGGAAATTTGGAAGTTTGGGCAACATCAAAATGTGCTGAATGAGCAGCACAAATATCTGTGTCACTGCCTTACAGACAACACTTGGAGTTTGTTCAAAAGACAGACACTGACCAAATGAATGCAGCCAGAATAACAAACAACTCGAAATCACCAAATTATAGATGAGTGGAGAAAGCTACAAGACACCAGATAAGAAGGAAGACATCAGATATAGCAAGGAAACACGGCACTGTAAAAGCCACTCAGCATCATTTAAGGACTGCCACAGGGAAGAAGGGGAAGATACAGCCTCAGGAGACAGATTCATCTTGGAACTGGTAAAATACCATGTGGGGAATTAGATCAATCATTAAAAACAAAAAACAAAACAAAACAAAAACCCATACAAATGCTGGAGTTCATTCTGCCAACATCAGTGATACATAAAGCCCATTAATATCTTCCATCAGAGGTAGAATTTTAAGGCAGGAATATGAAGTTCATAATAAAGAATAGTTTAACAATTCTACTTTAACAATTACAGTCAAACTTGAGAGAGAAATGTACTAGAACTGAGTGGCCTGAGGAGTCAATGGTTATTTTTGAAGAGTTCAGAATTTGCCTGTAGATATGTATGCTGAATATCTGAACTTCACAGAAACTAATTTTGATTTCCTTAACAGTTTTGCTGGGCGTTGGTGGCGCACACCTTTAATCCCAGCACTCAGGAGGCAGAGGCAGGCGGATCTCTGTGAGTTCGAGGCCAGCCTGGTCTACAGAGTGAGTTCTAGGACAGCCTCCAAAACAATACAGAGAAATCCTGTCTCGAAAAACAAAACAAAACAAAACAAAAAAAAAAAGAGTTTTAAGTACAAGCATTTTTTCCTCAGTAAATAATAATAATAACAATAATGACAGCAAACATTTATAAAACACTGCATACCAGACACCATTCTGGACACTTTTGTACAGTAAATTAGTCAGCCTTCACTACAGTCCAACTAAAATAGTATATTATCATTCTTTTTTTTTTTGTTTTTTTCGAGACAGGGTTTCTCTGTGGCTTTTGGAGGCTGTCCTGGAACTAGCTCTGTAGACCAGGCTGGCCTCGAACTCACAGAGATCCGCCTGCCTCTGCCTCCCAAGTGCTGGGATTAAAGGCGTGCGCCACCAACGCCCGGCATTATCATTCATTTTTACAGATAGAAAAACTTCAGAAAGCTGAAAAAAATCCAAGTTTGAATACAAGCTTAAAAAACTGTAAGAAGAAACAGTTCTGATATATTATGCTGACTTCTCTTGAGTACATTATAATTACACTCATACTACCTCATATCATTAACATTATACCTTCTGCTTGCATTATCCCCCAGTAATTAGGAACTTTTCACTCTTATTATGTGAAATACTAAAAAGATAAATTCATTTCCTAATGAAAGCCAAAAGGCAGGGAAACAGTTAATGATCTTCAGGTGATAATATAGTAATTTCTAGGCAAAAATAATTTGGCAAAGAAAGGTTATAATTAGAAATCTTGTGATTTGTAAAGCTTAATTTAACAAAAAGTGTTGGCCAATCAGCAAAATACACGGAATCATTAAGTCCCTCAAAGGTCGAACTTGGAGCATGTGCCCCAGCAACTTTCTGGAAATTTCCCAAGGAATTGGAAAGCTACTTTAGGATAAAACCGGGAAACTCGGGTGTTTCTTCTAAGATACTTAATCATATTTAGTCCCATAATGCTTTGTTTAGTCTCTAGAGTACACATGAGGGATGAGAATGCTTGACAAATCTAACTGATCTGCTACCATTACTATTTTAGTGTTCATGAATAACATAAACTTTCCAAAAGCCTTTGGAAAAATAAAAATTCATCAGGTCATCTCAAACTGAAAACTCAAGGCAAAGTTAGTGGTGGCTGATTTCAAAACGATAACCATCACAATTTCTCACCTGCTGGTGACTCTTTGGTATCATTGTCTTTAGAGTCATCTGCTTCTGGGCTATCATAGTCACATGACGGACTAACTGGTTCACAGGGTTGAACCGTCTGCTCATCCATAACTTTAAGTAGTAAGAAGGGAAACAGATTTGCGTTAAGTGAAAATAAAACTAGTTCATATTGCGATATGCTTAGGAAAGAAAAGCTGAACCAGTAATCAAAAGAAATTCTACATTCAATAAGAAACATCGTTTAGTATAAAAACCAAATAAATTTGCTAAGATTATAAATTTACCAGAATAAAATAACATACAAACTTAAAGCAAAATACAAAGCTCGATTACAAAGTTACACACCCCAGGAGTGGTTCCCACCGTGATTTGTATCGAAGTCAACTTTCATCTAGCACTAAAATTCTAAGCAGCATATACATTATACTCATATAAGAATGCAAATCTAGGTGCTGGACACATGGGTCAGTAGCTAAGAGCACACATTGCTCTTGCAGAGAATTCGGGTTTGGTTCTCAGCATCCACACTGGGCAGTTCACAACTGCCTGCTATAGCTCCATCTCAGAGAGTCCAATGCCTCCCAAGGACCTGTTCTTCCATACACACAGACACACATGCATACATAGCATTAAAAATAAAAGGTAAACCGCTTAAAATTCAGATAAAGTCGTGTATACTCAAACATTAACCATGTTAAGAAATCAAAGTGAAGTTATTTTCTCTCTATTATCAGCAGCTACAGGGTTGATTTTAAGAATTAAAGAGAAGCCCCAAAAAGTAAAAAGACTGAAATTTTCAGACTTGTTCTATTAGCTATTTTCTACTCAAACTGGGGTGAAAATATTGCAACTTAATTTACCTCTGAAATTTATTTTATAAGTCATTGCTATGGTGACTCTCACTATTCAAAGAATAGGTAGGACTACATGAACTTCCCTCTAGAGAAATTATCGTCTTCTGTCATGGGATTTCTTTTTTTTTTTTTAATGTGTACCGAATCCAAGCATTATGCACACTGGTCATGCTTGCACAGCAGGGATGTTGCGGCCTCTTTGAAGCTAATTTTGTGAGTGTGTACCTTTTCCAGCTTCTTCAATGACTTGCCTCACTGCTTTCTTTAGACTGTTTGCCCGCAGCATTATTTCCCGGGGCTTTACGGCTTTCTGGGAGGAGGGTTTTGCAATGTCATTCACGAGCTGGTCCTTGCTTTCACCCAAGGACTCTTCACTGGAGGACTCTACAGCATCTTCTTCAGGGATCGCAGGGCCGACCCCAGGGGGGACCCGACTGGCCTGAGCGTCTGCGTGCAGGGCTTGTAGCAGCTGTTCGAGCTTCTCATTTAGCACTGAGCACTAAGAAAACCAACAAAATGTCAACTACGGTGACCAGAAAATAAACAAATAGCAACAACAGTGATGAGGAAGACATTCAAATACATTAGACTGGCAGACATAATATTTTTTTTTTTTTTGGTTTTACAAGACAGGGTTTCTCTGTATTGTTTTGGAGGCTGTCAGTCCAGCGTGGCCTCGAACTCACAGAGATCCACCTGCCTCTGCCTCCCGAGTGCTGGGATTAAAGGCATGCGCCACCAACACCTGGCATATAAGATGTATTTTTATGTAAGACAAATCTTTAATGTGCTTAATCACTGGAGAGGAAAACATCACCATTCAAGTAGCTATGGTTTTTTTCTTCTGTAGATGTTTTGGGTGGAGAATACATCTATTTTTCAACTTAGAGAAGACAGAAAATGGCCTTTAAATAAGTGGCTATTAATGTACAGAAATGCTTACTGTTAACTGACTGATAAAGACCTACCGTATGTATAAAAGTCCAACAACGCTCACAACTCTGACATCTACCTATTGATTCATCCTTCCTGACCACTCAAATTCTACAGCAAGGTTTAAAGTTTTTTTGAACAATTCTTATGTATATGTTACTTTTGTCTGAATACATGTATGCATACCGTGTTTGGGTCTGGTACCCACAGAAGCCAGAAGAGGGTCTTAGGTCCCCTGGAACAGGTGTTGTGGATGGTTGTGAGCTACCATGTGGGGGCTTAAAACCAAACCTGGGTCCTCTGCAAGAGTAGTCAAGTGCTCATAACCACTGAGCCATTTCTCCAGCCTCCACGGGTACAACCTTCCTTAGAATGCAACCAGGACTAAGCTGAAAGAGATACAGTACCCAAAAACACCGGGCTTTCTTTTAAAGTCACTGACTTGGGGCACCCTTTTTAATATCATGATTTGCCAGCATGGCTGAGCTGAAGCTCTGTCAGTGCTCACAGCACTGCGGAGTCCAAGAAAGAACAAGAAGGAAAACGCACAGGAATAAGGAGGGCAGAGAAGGGGGCGGGGACTCAGAAGAAAAGCAGGCACAGAGGTCTTCAGCTTGTCTTGGTTTTCTACAGGTAAAGAAACATTTGGGATCACAACTGTTAACGCAAACCCCCAACCTCCACAGAATTCTTGGCCTATCCCCTCTCTGCTTCTCTGTCTTTGGTGAAAAGCCAAGACAGGGTCACAGGAGAAGGGCTTCAGAGGCAAACATGTGGCTAAGAGAAAGTCCCTGCCTTCTGAAACTCTCCATAGGGAAAGAAATGACCCGAATACCTCAGTGTTGACTTCAATGCTGCTGTCATTGGTACACAAGAAGGGTTTTATGTGTTAATCTTTATCCTGTCACTTTGCTGGAAGTATTCATCAGCTCTGAGAGCATTTTGGTATCATCCTGAGAGTCTCGAGTAAAGAATAACATAGGGCTGGAGACGTGGTTCAGTGGTTAAGAGCACTGGCTGCTCTTCCAGAGGTCCTGAGTTCAATTCCCAGCAACTACGAGGATCTGATGGGATCTGATGCCCTCTGTTGGCATATAGGCATAGATGCAAACAGAGTACCCGCAATACACAAAATACATATATAAATAAATAATTTAAGAAGAGAATCATAACATCTGCAAATTGGGACTGTGAATGGCCATCTATGGGTGGGACATTTACATCAACCCCACCCAAACCCCCAAGGCTCAGGAAACAGCGCCCCAGAAGGGAGCAGAAGAAGGAGAGGAGTGATGGGTTAATGGTGGCTTCTAGACATGACACAGCTGTTACACACATGAACTCAGCAGCTGTGGTTATCTACACAAGACCTGCATAAAATCAACAGTTAAATATTCCAGCACTGAGGCAAGGATGGGTTCTGGTGGTCCCACCCCTATGCTAAGGAGCTATTGGCAGCTAATGACTCCTTGGGGAGGGAGAGCCAGTTTCCTTTAGGGCTGTGGCCATTGATGGATTTCATGTCCCAGGGGATGACCTCACACCCATGTCCATGTGAGCAGTACTAACTGAACTCAGTGTGATTATAAAAAATGTGAAAGGAGAACATGAAATTGGAAAGGAGATGTGGTGAGGATAGGGATCCCAAGAGGAATTAGGGGTGGACATGATCAACAGGCAGTATGTATGGGTATAAAATTTTCAAAGACTAAACAAAAATTTAAAGGAAGAAACTTTGTTTCCACTTGATTATTTTTTCTTTCACTCAACCCACTAGCTACAGCATGAACTTTAGGGAGAAGAATCCTTCACAAGCCAAAAACTATCCAAGCCTTATGTAAAAAGGCCCTCTAGTGAACTTTAAAAATATAAAGACGCTAGCTTGTAAAGTCAGTATGCTATTCTTAGCACCAGAAAGCTCATAAAGGAGAAAAAATCTGTAAAGGCATGAAAAAAAAAGTCACGAAAGAAATAGAACTTTGAAGGCCACATGGACTGGCATCTAGAGAATGGAGGACTCATGCTGGGAAGTAGCTGGGCCACCAAACCTTGTCTGGCATGGGGAGCCAGGCCTCACCCAATGGGACCACTGGTCCCACGACATCCTCTGTTGGGCTGACTGCATGTCCCTTTACGATGTCAGTCACTGAGAAAGGGATCTGAATCATATAATTTGGTTTGCTGACTACTCTCCAACAATGCAGCTTTAGTGCATACTAAAGGATAACCGTAAATTAGAAGGTGTTTTTGCAAATCCTCATGACTAATTTAAAGATCATTTTTTCTCTTTAGATATTTTGGCAAGAGCACAGGGCAGCAAGCTTTAAGAACACAGCACGAAACTCATTGTGTCAATAAACATCCTCCAATGCTTTGGTGTGTCCCCTTACTTTATTGGCCACCGCTTCAGCTACTACTGTATTTTCCAGTGTTTTGTCCTGTGCCTTCTCCACTTTGGCAACGAAGTCCTTCACTGTTTCACAGAGTATCCTTTGAGGAAGAGAAATGGCCCTGTTTAGTCAGTGTGCTGTCATGCACAAACGTATTTATAAGTAAGTTACAAGTAGGCAAACTCAAAATTTTTTTTACACAAGACCACACTTGTATCTGTGTTAATGTATCTTGGATACATTTAGGACTTGCTAAGTGAAAAGAGAATATACGAGTAAGCCTGGTTCTCCGCACTTATCGCAAGACTGCACTGAACCATTCTTGAATGCTTAAATGAGCCTTACGAAGAATACTTTCAGATCCCCTAAAAATAATGTAGTTTCTTCCATGACTTAGATCGTTTTCCTCATATAGAACACACAGGAACAAGTTCTCCGCTATCTACAGGGTCTACTGGTCTACTAGTCAGAAAACGGACATCCTGACAGCACACTGCTCCTGAAGAGGAGGAATGAGGATGCGCATTGTTACCAACCATCAGACACTCGAATTGAGTTATGTTCTCTGTAAACACATCTATTTTCCCCCCTTAAGATAACCAATACAATAACACACAAGCCTAACCAAATTGAGATCTCATTAGTGTCAGCAATATATGGTTTACTTGTTTGTCAGATACCTACTGGGGCCAGGGGAAGAGTAGGTGGGTTGAACCCAGGACAAGAGAGGCACTAGGAGTGTGAGGCCTGAGCAATCTGCAATGTATACATTCTGTAAGCAAAACAACTCATTAAACAAACACAAACCAGCCAGCATGCTACCCATCTCTCTCTGTAGCAACCACAGCGGTCTACTGCCTGGGGCCACTTCCCCCTTTCTGTTCAGTGCCGTTTCCTGTTCTGTATGGATGCATCCTCAAAAGCAGCTGTTACTGCATTTCTGCTATCAGGAAACTTGTTCCTCATGACTTATTTTGTGTTTTTCCTTCGTTACAAACTAAGCATGTACTACACCAAAATCTGCATCTTCCTGCTCGGTTTTCTGCTCTCCTTCTGATCTTCTGTCCTATCTTTTCCTTCGCTTCCTGGATAATAGTGGTATATTCCATCACCTATGAGTTGAAAATTTCAGCTGGCTCCGCCCCCTTCCCCTAACTGTCCCCCCTCGTGATGTGAGTACAGGATACTTGAAAGTAAATTAGAAATTCCACATTCGGAATAACAACATTATCAAGCTTTGGCTCCATGTATGGGATTAACTTCGATAAAATCTGATAACTTTGAACTAAAATATGATTATGTAATTTAAACATGCTGAGAAATGTCATTTTAAAGAATCTTGTTATTTTCCTTTTAGAGATGTAAAGAGTTGCTAAGTAGAAATGTGGGGGGGATAATAAATTACGATGATATAGGATTTCCATGTTACAATTAATCATTGATATTTTCCAAATAGACATTGAAACTCTAAATACTTTTTACACAATATGACAAAAACCATTCAAAATAAGCAGCAAACTATATGCCCCTGAAGAGACTCCATGCGGATGCTAATGTGACTAAAATCAAGTTCAAATTATTGTATTTAATTCTTGAAGTTACTTCACATATACTCCTAAGGAAAATCACCAGAAATGGCGTCACTGCCAACAACACCCTTCCCTTTCACGTTCTCACATAAGTAAGCACTTCCTTCACGTCAGCCCCACAACTCACTTGGCAGATGATATGACCACCGCATGCTCATCGGAATTGAGGATTTTCGTAAGGTGATTCGCAACAGAGTCTTCATAAATTGTCATCTGGAAAAGAAAACCCTTACACTATATAATTACTGTTGATGTCTATACAACCTAGTTATGACTGCTTCAGAAATGTGCTGCTCATACACATACAAGGCAGGGCAGAGACTGTCATGAAGTGTGTGTGGGGGGAAATGTCATGAAAAGGGGGGTCGTTATGCAAAAAATATATTGGGGGTCATTATGCAAAAGAAAACTTCCCCTGACTCCCATTTTCAGGTTTTGGAGTTCTTTACATTTTTGGAAAATCATATTAAAAATATAAATTGAAAAAATATAAAATGAATTACATATAAATATAGTATGACTATATGAAGCACTATTTAAAATGAATACAGCAAAAGCCAGACTAGTGCAATCAAAATATGGATGAAAACCTAGAAATCCAAGTAGAATAACCCCATGGTTAACATTCAGTTTCATCATGAACCTAGAGAATACAACCGGAAACCAAACACAGGATGGCTAAAATGCAGACAGCATCCAGGGGGAACCTCATAACCGGCATAGCATGATGGCAATATGAAGCTCTCCTCCATAAAAACTGATGATAGGTCCTAGGGAGCTCCTGGATACTATCTGTTAAAGCTGAACATAGACAGACCTAACATCAGAGGACCAAGAAACTCGAGTTCTACAAAGACACCCCAAAGAAACAGATGTGTGTTCACCAAAGGACATGGGCTAGATGGATGTTCACAAGGTGTTGAAGGGAGTGTATTTGCTCCATGGACACTGGGAAGGAGAGAGTCACAGTTATGCCACCACACAGGTGAATCTGACAAGCTTAAGGCTGGGTAGAAGGAACCAGAGCAAAAAAATCACGTGAAATGAATTCCATTTTATATTCTATTTTTCTATTCTCCTAAACCAGACAGAATTAGTATAGGTTGTGGTCCAGACAGTGGTCATCCATGAGAAATGTGTGGGGTGCACGGAATTTGTGTTTTGTGACCCAGGTGTCAGTTATGGAAGGTCTGCCTAATTTGTGAAAGTGTCCCAAGCTATACATCTAAGATATGCACACTTTTCTGCCTATATATTACACTTCAGTAAAAAAAAAAAAGACTTTTAAAATTTCAATTGTGGAGCCATACAATCTGGTAAGTAACCAAAACATTATGTCAGTAAATACTTCTCCCAGACAATGAAACACACTACAATCCCCAATGTCCTAAATCCCTTTTCCTCTTGCTCTAAGACCATAACATCCTATTGATATATAAAAATATGCCCAGTATTTGAACAGTTTCATGCACAGTCTTCTGGTCAGTGTTTTCCTCAAGTGCATTCCATGTCAGAAGCCAGAATTCTCCAGTAGGAACGACGGCCCCACTCAAGCTGGTCCCCACATTCCTTCGCCTTGCTCAGACATCTCGCTCTTACTCGCCCGTTAGCATTGGTTACGCAGAAATATCGGAAGTTTCAGTAAACATTTCCCTCCACAATGCCATTCTGACCAGCATCTTCTCCAAGAGATCTCACTTTAAATTTACAGTCAAGTCCATCCACCAGCAGCTAATTTACTACCTCACCTCCTTCAAATGTAAACCACACCTGGAAAAGTCATTTAACACCATGCAGCCACAGGTCTCCCTACCTACACAATATTTCCCTGACCCTCTAATCGCCTGGTGTCAGCACAAAAATCTGTGTCTTTAAAGATCAGGACAGTGAAAACACAGCTTTTAAAAATGCAAAATAGGGCAATATTCTTCATCTTACTCTCTTCACTGCAGCGTGGATAATATATGACATGGGTAGTAATGCTATGAATAAGCGCACTCATTAGTTTATTAATTACTGTCATTTAATTAATGATACTTGAAGCCTCTATTTGTTCATGAAAGATAGTAAAAGACCAAAAAAATATTCAAAGACAAAAATATACCTCTTTATGAGGAAAAAAATTAATCTTTACATCCCAGAACAAAATCTATAGATGCCCCATCTTAATCTTCTACAGTGTCACTTAGCAGGGACGTGACTTCCTTGTTTTGGAAAAAAATAATAACATTTATGAAAAGTGCTACTGAGCGGACTGGCTTCTAGAAAAACAGCCATGCTGGATACAGTCAGAATATTAGAGCTGAGAGTTTTGCTGTAAATTACACAGTAAGTATATTAACCTCAACAGTGGGAGGCCTGGCTGGGCATCATCTCTGCCTTCCACTTCATATGTTTACTATTTTTGCATATTTTAGAGCATTTTTAATGCTTTCATATCTGAAAAATACACTCATTTTCTCTAAGCAATGTCCCTTGTTTCTGTTTGCCATGCCTTGCATTAGTTTGACAAGATAATAATTTTCTCGATGGCAAAAAAAAAAGATTTAGGCTCTAAAGACGTGAGTTTTCCTCGAGGGAAAAACACACTGTTGTAGATCAAAAAGTCTTAATGAGTCAGATAATCTCCTGGAAGGCCAGACTGTTTTAAATTTCCACTGCTCTGAAAATTTTAGACATGGGTGGTCTGTAACAGGGGTAGCAGGGACTGGGCAGCGTTCCCTTTGCTTGCTCAGCATCAGCAGGCTTAACACGGGTCTGGGGTCTATTCAAAGAGCAGGCACACTAAGAGAGAGACTGCATGACTTTGCACCTGGAGTACTGGGTAGTGGGTGGGAGGGGTTTAATGGAGTTGGATTAACACCCACTAATCAAGCAGATGCAAATGACCAATGCAGAAAATGAGTGAAGACTCACTCGAGGCTGCTATCTGCTGGCCTCCTGGGTCGGGAGAATGGGACCTCACACGCCTGGTGCTTTACATACATCTGCACCATGAAACCTCACAGCACGGTGGCCCATGTCACAGACGAAGTGGTGAGGTCCGTGGAGGTCAGTGACTTAGGGTTCATGGTCATAGGACTCTAACCTTGATCCTCGGGATTCTTTACTCTGGGAGAGAAGACTGGAGGCAGTCAGGGACACCATGAAACAAGCATGTCACCACTGCCATCTCTCCTGTTCCCAGGATACCCCATTCCGAATGGTCAGTAGATAAAAGATTCGTCTTACATAAAATCCTCCAGATGCTTCTGGGGGTTCAGGAAGTAGAGACGCCTTCGCTGGCAATTTGAGTTCATACGTCATTATACTCCACCTAATAAGAGAAAGTCACAATAAACTATTTCTATCTCGTATACATACATATATACACATATTTGTGGTCTACGATTCTATTCTATCTTAAACCAATGATGGGACAGAAGCAAAGCTGTGATATCCCATAACAAACTGGATTTACAGTGTAAATTTTCCGCATCTCACCAATCTCCAGTTAACCGCATCCAAACATTCCAACACCGGGTCACAGCAGGACAATCTGGTCATCCCATGACTTATTGCCCTTTTTACAAAGTTGATTTTTGTGTGTTCATTGGTGTTTCACCTACATGTGTGTCTGCGTGGGGGCGTCAGAAGCCCTGGAACTGGAGTTACAGGCGGTTGTGAGCTGACATGTGGGTGATGGGAATTGAATCCAGGTCATCTGCAAGAGCAGCCAGTGTTCTCAACAGATGAGTCAACTCTCCAGCCCCAATTTAGTACTCTTGATGCAATGCATTTTAGCCTTTTCTTTTCTACTTTCTGAATAAGGCTCATTGTAAAGTACTAACTAATATGCTATTAACAAGCCACAACCCAAAGTCCTAAAATAATGTCTTTTCATATTACCTATGAAAATAAGCCATTTTACATTCTGCTTCTGGAAAAAGGATGTGGTGTGTGTGTGTGTGTGTGTGTGTGTGTGTGTGTGTGTGTGTGTGTGTGAGAGAGAGAGAGAGAGAGACAGAGAGAGAGATGAAAATGAGATAAACACTCCTTTATTCAAGAAAGAGTAATGCAAACATGTGATGGAAGAAAATTAGTCATAAAAATAAAAATAACAAATTATTATTAATTAATACTTCCAAATCTTAGATCATTTGAAAAAGTAATCAACAGGATAATTCCAGATTAATGTTTAAAACAATTCCAAATTTGGGGAGATTGATGGGCTAGGATATTATTACAGTTTAACAAGATGAGAGATAATGTTTTTTATAGATACAACACATTATAAAAGCAGTATTACAACACATGAATTTTATAAAAAGCGTACACAGCCAAAGATGGAACCTAAAGGCAATTCCTAAACTAGTGGATCATACATTAGTAGAACCTAGTGTATCATTCAGACTAATGAGACTAAGTCTTCTCATAAAAACCCAAATTTCCAGAAACTTCCCCAACAGGCATGTTAGACAGTGTGAACTAAACCATTACTTGTAGCTACTATTCAACTCTCAACATGAAAACATAAATAAGGGTTGGGGAGCTGGATCCATGGGTACAGCACTTGCTGAGAAAGCATAAAGACTAGACGTCAGATCCTCAGAAGCTCTGTAAGTGCTGGGTGGGAGCGCTGGCCTGCCCGTAGTTCCAACCTTAGAAGACGGAGCTAGCTAGCAAGAGTAGCCACCGCAGCCAGCTCTGGGTTTATATGGGAGACCCTGCCTCAGTGAACAAGATGGAAGTACTATCGGGGATGATTTCCAATATCAGCCTCGGGCCTCCATATGTGCACGCAACCAAACGTGCATACACACACTCAATAAAAAACCACTACAAATAAAATCATATAATTTCCCACCCATCCATGCAACAGATATAAATGCCGATCATCTCCAAGTGAAAGGCAGGGGCTACATCTACAAGAGTGAACAGGCTTCTAAATGAAGCACACGAGCTAGCACAGAGACTAGAAATCACACAGGTATTGCTTACATTCGAGGAAACTAAGTAAGAGAAAACTGCAACCAGGAATGTAAAAGCCAAGCTACTTGTAGCTGAACTACCAAAGGACAAGAAGTGGGAAAGGATCCCATTCAAAACCACAACCTGCCAAGCTGCATCTTCCTCCTGGACAGGGAGTTCTGAGGGAACAGGGAGAAGCGGCGGCGAGGGAAGGAAGATTGGGGCCGGGGTGTGCATTAGCACTGGCTGCAAGATGCTCTGGGCTTCGCCGGCATCCGTGTGCTGGGAGGGACAGACTGGATCTGACTGGGAATCTGAGTCTGGACTCTGCTAACTCACCAGCCCAACTGGCTACGTGAGTTTGACCGCGTCAGGAATAGAGATGACCATTTGAGCTCATTTGGGACTATAGGGATGGCAGTATAAAATAAGTACAACACATTCCTACTCCCACTGTCTCCAAAAGTCTGTGTCTGATCTTTGTAAAATAGTCATAATGATGCTCTTACGAACCAAGTCACAGCACAGCTCCAAAATCAAATAAATATTATTGGAAAGCCTAAATAATGCAGAATGTTACACTGACTTTTCACACACCCCCCTTTTTAAAATGGGGCTAGGATCACCTGTTTTTCAGAAACAGTAAACTCACAAAGAAAACAAGATGATTCTGATGAAGATCTTCACCTTTGCTCTGTTGGTTCTGGCACGCCAGGGGATGACGTTTAACCACGGGGTGCTATCTCTCAGCTAACCACTTGGGGGAGTGAATTTTTAGAGAGCTTTTCCAAGGCAGCATCAGGATTGCCCTTTAAATCTCTCCAAAAGAAGCATTTAAAATACTGTGTGAGGGCTGGTAAGATGGCTCAGCGTGTAAAGATGCTGGCACTGAGACAGACAACAGAGTTAGATCCACATGGTTCAGGGAGAGCCAACCCTGGAAAGACCTCCACATTCTCGACACGGCAAATGCAGCAACATGCACACAATTAAATATTTTTAAAAATATTTAGTAAATTCTCTGCGTTGCTTAGTAAGCAAAGCATGGGGCCATTTAGGAATCTCTCTCTCTCTCTCTCTCTCTCTCTCTCTCTCTCTCTCTCTCTCTCTCTCTCTCTCTCTCTGTTCTCTGTCTCTCTCTCAAGATAATTTTATTTTATTCAAATCCTTCCTTCCCTTCAGTTTTATCAGCTTTATTAAGGTAAAAACTGCCAAACAGTATGTATTTATGATATATAGCTGTTGATGTACACAAGTCACCACAACACCTGAGCTGGATAACTGACCCATTTCCACACTGTTATTCCTTTCTGATTCTGTGTGTATATATGAAGTGTGAGTGTGTGCATGTTCACACATGTGAGTTCAAGTATGCTTGTGCCATAGCCTGTGTGTGGTGATCTGGGGACAACTCAGCGTGTTGGTCCCATTTTCCACCTGCTTTGGAGCCGGGTCTCCTGTTCACAGCTGTGTATGCCGGGCCAGCTAGGCTGGCAGCTTCTGGGACTGCTCCTGTGACTTCCTCCCAATTCGCCACGAAGAGCAATGAGATTGCACACATGTGCTGCTTCACTCAGCTTTGAATGGGTTCTGGGGAAGCAAATCCAGCCTTGCATAGCAAGTGCGGTGATCCGCTGAGCCACTTCCTCTGCTCCCCCACCCTTCTCCCCTCCCTCTTTTCCTTTCTTCCTTCCTCATTCCTTCCTTCCTTCCTTCCTTCCTAACACCTTTCAAGGATTAGGCATTCGGACTCTAGCCCCAGCCCAGATTATAAATTATTATGATCCCACTAAGTGAGTGTCACCTTCATGGAATTTTGGATAAATAAGGCTAAGGTTCCACCATCCAGCTCTATTTTTCAGTATGCTGTCAGCAAAGGGATCAAGCATTATAACATTACAGTGTGACAGACAAGGTTACTGTGCTGAGGTTATCACTCATCTTGGGATAATTACATTTTTTGGCTGGTGGCTCCCTGATGCAATTTTGTTTTCAGGAAGAGTTCCACAGATGGCTAATCCTATCAAAGTTGTTTTGATTCATGCGAGCTCAAGACTGTAATGATATTTTGATATTTGTCTTATGCTCTTGGGGGTGGGGTGATTATGACTTACTGAATCTTCTTGTTCCCTAAACCCGAACTCTAAATGCCTTCACCATAGCAGTCAAGCTACAAACACTGTGATTTCGGCTTTATACATGACTATTCCAGGGTTGGGGGGAAGAGGAGGAGAGAGAACGGAGGGGATGAAGGACATAGAAACACATGACAAGTCCTTCATCTTCATGTGTCTTCCAAACAATTCCCTCTCTCTGTCTCTCTGTCTATCTCCCCCCCACCACCACCCAGGGCAAGCACTCTGTCACTGCACGATATCCCAGCCTGGGCAGGACTATGATCTTTTTACTACCCAACTGTTTGAATTAACTCAGAGGAGACCCTGTAGCAAACTGAAATTGACAATGCTTTTCTTAGATTCTGAAATCCAAGATGGTAGGTCTTACTCTTCCATTCATCAGAGGATCTAGCTGCAAAGGTAACTTTTTAGCTCTGGCTTGAACACTGATTAAAAGTGACTGGCATCCCAGGCAAATAGTACACTTCTATAATCCTGGCACTCAGGGATGATGGGATAGGAGATCTCAAGTTTGAGGTCAGGCTGAGCTATGTAGTGAGACCTATCCTCAAACCACAACAAAACACAGATTTGTAACTCCATAATCATTTACATTTAAGTAAGAATTCACTGGAACCATTTTTTTCAGGGTTTCTTTTTTGTCATTCATTCATTCAAAAGCGTCTTTTATTGAGTGTCTACTTTGTGCAGGCTCGATTCAGGATCTCAGTGATGAATGAACAAGACCTGGAAGTTTGGACTTCCAGACTTACAGTTAGCGGAACTGAAAGCATCATGTATCTTGAGGTTGACATTTTCTGAAGGCAAATGTATTTTACCTGTCCAACATTTTGGTACTGGCTCGTTCCAGCTTCTCTAGAATCTGCGGAAGTTGGGTGTCATCGTCATAGGAACCTCCCCAGCCAAGAACTCGAGCAAGGTCATTGCCTGTGCCCAAAGGCAATACCCCAAGCTGGCACTGCAAAAGAATGCAACAGTAACATTTTGAGAGAAGTTGGGAAACAAGGACCTTGGGTTCAAGGCTAGCTCAAGATATACAAGACCCATCTCAAATGCCCCAGTGAACACTTGCCTGTTTGTTCAAGTTCAGTTTATCAATCTCTGACAAAACCCAGCCTACACTTCCATCTCCTCCACAGACAAGAATTCGGAAGTTGTCAAACTTCTGAAATAACCTTAACCTGAAAGTAAAGCATCTATTTTTAGTGTAAGTACATTAAAAAAAAAAAACTTTCTCCAACTACTGTTCATTTTCTATTCATTAATATCCACTTTCATATTAAGTATAAAAAGTTAGCTTGAGTGCAACAGTTAAGTCAAGAAACTTCTGAATAAAAAGAGTTATAGGCAGAAGCAGAGATAAATTAGAAGGGGAATAAAGAAGGAGAAAATAAAAGCAAAGTGGAACCAGAAAAGAAACTGAAGGCAAAGCAGATAAAGTGGCATTTCAGGACACGTCACTTCCTGAGGAATTACAAACCAAGGGAGGGGCATCTCGGTGTGGGAGACACTGGGGCTGTAACTAAGGACACCCGCCATGCCTTGATGACACAAGGCTCTCAGCATCCCCTGCTCTCCTAGTCTCGGTCCTTCCTCTTATTCTAGCTCCCTTCCTGTTACTCTGTCCCTTGGTCCTGTGTGACAATCTCACAGAGAAGCTCAGAGGTTTAGAGAATAAAGGGTCCCTTCTTGAGAAGACACAGTATCACCTCCACAGAAAAAAACATACACGGGTACTGAAAGGGGGTGAAGTACCCCAAGGCATACTCCCCCCAATGAAAGTGCCAAGTGGCTTATATTCATTTTTAGACTTTATATTACACAACCCCACAGAAAGCTGAAAGGACAGTAACAAAAGTCCTTTATCGTTATCTGAAGTCAGCCTGAAATCCTTCAGGAACTGCCCCTGCGATGCTAGACAGAACCCCCTTTGGTTAAGTCACTGACTGTATGTATTGATATAAATCAATACTAGTTTTCCAAGAAGATAATTCTCTAATATTAGGATGTACTTTACATCTATACAAGTTTATCTTTCCTAAAGTTTTGTTTAATGCGAGATATACACTTAAAATATTTTCATACATCTTTTAGAATTTGAAAGTCTTGATAACAAGTTTGAAATGGATATAATGAAGCTGAATAACACCAGAAAAGCTGTGTTAAATGTGAATTAGGGAACATATCTTTAATCCCAAGCACCGAGGAAGGAGAGACAGGTCAATCCCTGTGAGGCCAGCCTAGACTACATATAGCTCCAGGTCAGCCGGGGCCTCATAGTCCTGTCGCAAAAACAACAAAAGAACAAACATACAAACAAACAAAAAAAACTCACAACAACAAACAATGAGAACTTGAAGCTAGAGGCATAGCTTAACGATAAGGATGTGCCTAGGGTGTCCACATCTATAAGTTCAATGACCAGCCCCATGCAGAAAGAAAAATACAAAAACAAAACCACAAAGCCCAATGAAGGAAGGGGTGAGAGCAACAAAGAGATGCCCAGTGGAAACTATAATTTTCTAGGGTTTTAAAATTTGTTTTGTTTGGAGACAGGGTTTCTCTGTGTAGCCCTGGCTGTCCTGGAACTTGCTCTATAGACCAGGCCTGAATAGAACTCAGAGATCACACCTGCCTCTGCCTGCCTTCTGAGTGTTGGGATTAAAGGCATGCACCACCATAGCCCAGCTTGGAAATAGTGATTTTCATGGGGAGAGGGGCCAGACACATCTCATGCTTAGAACCATATTTTACTCAAGTATGATTACCCTAAGTGAGGTCCTCCATTCATTAAATCAAACACCTGAGCCGGGTTGAGCAACTGTTTAAAGCGACGAAGGAACTTTACTCCCTGGTTATCTCCACTTTTAGAATTGACAAACACCAACAGAGGGCTGACACAGAATGAAAAGGTCGCTCTACAGAAACCTGAAAAAGAAACCCAGGAAAAGATTAATATGTATGTTTTTCTCTCTTAAACTATTAACAGACATTTAGAAAAAGAAATGGGCAAAAATAAGGAGTCTTCCTTATTGCTGGCATATCATTTTAATCTAATCCCCCAATGGAGCCAAGGTTACTATTTGCATCCTAGAAATACAAAGCTCGCATTTCAGAACATACTCTGCAGTGAAAAATCACACCAAAGACAATAAAAACCTCAGTCACAGAGTATTTGAAATGGACCACCAACCTTAACCAATAAGCAAATCTAAAGCTGGATGGTGGTGGCGAACACCTTTAATCCCAGCACACGGGAAACAGAGGCAGGTGTTTCTCTGTGAGTTTCAGGCCAGTCTGGTCTACAAAGTGAGTTCCAGGACAGCCAGGGCTGTCATCCTGTCTGGGTAAAGAAAAACAAAAACGAAAGCAAATCTAGGCTATGGGTTTCCATTTGACAAATAATCCATGTTCATACTCCATTTCACAATATTCCAATTGTTCTCTGAAGAGGCCTGAGAAAATACTTTAAAATTTATAGAGAACAAAAGACATGTCCGGGGTGGGGAGGACTGTCAAGAGCTCATCCTCTAAACTTTACATCCACATGTGCAATTATATCAGAAGTCCGTGGGTGAAGCACGGCAGAGTTTAAAATAACACACTGCAAAGGCCATCTGTAATGCAGCTCGTGCAAAAGAAGTAATGAAAGCTCTATTCCAAAAACAGCGGTGTTAGAAAGTCTCCCCGGCACCTACACTTAAACCTTGTCAGACTCTAGAAACAGCGAACGCATTTAGAGGACTACAAAGTCCTGCAAGGAAATTACCGGGAGAGCAAATTTTAATAGTAGCCCATGCTAATGGACAATTTCAATTATGGTGAGAGAACACACAAATTAACCTTTTAGTATTTCAGTACAAAATGATAATCTTCTTTCATCCATTGGGATGCAAAACAATCTAAAAGTCTTATGTATGGTGATCTGGCTAATGTGTTCATGGCTGCACTACAACTTTCATTTCAAAATATTCCTCTGGGATGGGGATATAGGTCAGTGGTTGGACACATGCCTAGCTCTTCAAAATCCTGGGTTTTATCCTCAGCATCACAAAAATTAATATTAGCTAAACAATCAACTATGTCTTCCAGAATTTACAAAAACTGACTAGAATAGCAAATGGAAATTAAGTCGACATTAAATATGCAGAAATACACATACTTACACTACTGCTACGTACCATCAGAATCTGTGCTATTTAGTGCAATCGGAGGTATGATAGACACTTTACACTGGCCAAGTGGACAGACCGGATGGTACAGATCTTTGCAGGCGGTGTGTACCTAACAACAAACAAAGAGACCTTCAAGAATCATAAAAACAGTAAATCAATGCCTTTCTGTGTTATAAACTAATCTACAGATCTGCTCCTTCAGGATCAATAATGTCATAAAACATTCAGTGGCTAGTAAACCACTATGGGCACATTTACCCTTCCGAGGGACAGGCTAGCACTGTTAACATTAGGTTGGTCTGAGCAGTCTACTCCTGTGTTTGTCTAAAATAAGTAATATGTATTTGATGAATGCCTGGTGAAGGAAAGGAGGAAGAGATGAGGAGTGGGGAAAAAGGAAACAGGATGGGAGGGGGGAGGGAGAGAAAGGGAATCTCAAAGTTATATCCATAAACTTTAATAAAAATAAATAAACTGCAATAAACCAGGCTGGCCTCGTGCTCAGAGATCCACCTGCCTCTGCCTCCCAAGTGCTGGGATTAAAGGCGTGTGCCACCACCACGTGGCCAGATAGTTTTAAAATGAAGAATGTATGAGAATCGTGGAACAACACCGAGAGAGATCTGTGACAAGGCTGCCTGAGAGAAGCAGGGTTAACATGCACAGGCACTATTCTTTAAATTGCACGATGAAGCAGCAGAACTTCAGGTTTGGGTGGGTTCTCATTTGCTTTGTCTGGCCCTTGGGAATGAGATGACAGTAGCAAGCACTGGATATCCTACAGTACAATCTCACCACCTAAAAGCAAAAGAGCCAGCACACCAATAAAGGTTAGTGTAGGAAGAATGAGACCAAAAGAGACCAGTATGTGTAACCAACACAGGATAGGGCAGGAAGAACCAGAGTGAGAGTCAAGTTCGCCAGGGAATAAAACGGGAAGAAAGACATTCCAGATTGCTGCCATGTGTCACCTGTGACAGCAATGCCATCCTCTGGGATTCTTTTAAGTGCAGAGCGTACTCTTAAGTACAGGGGTTAGGGATGTACTGAGTTGGAAGAGACACCTGCTACAGTCTGCACGTTACAATGTTGCGTTAGCTTTGTGTCAACCTGACACACACTAGGGGTATCTTGGACCAGGGAACCTCAATGGAGAAAATGCCTTTGGTAGGCTTGCCCGAGGGGCATCTTCTTGATTGATGTGGGAAGCGCCACCCCTGGGCTGGTGGTCCTGAGTTGTATGAGAACACAGACTGAGCAAGCCCTGGGGGCCATGCAGCACTTCCCTGGGGAATCTGGTTCATCCTCCTCTGCCTCTTTTCTCTGTTTTGTTGCTTGTTTGTTTGTTTTTGAGACAGGGTTTCTCTGTAGCTTCAGAGGCTGTCCTGGAACTCACTCTGTAGACCAGGCTGGCCTTGAACTCACAGAGATCCACCTGCCTCTGCCTCCCAAGTGCTGGGATCAAAGGCGTGTGCCGCCACCACCTGGCACGGGTTCCCCTTTTAAGTTCTTGCCCTGGCTTCCATCAGCGATGGGTTGTGATAGGACCTTAACCCAAATAAACCCTTTGCGCCTGGCCTTCATTTGGGTCATGCTGTCTTTATCACAGCAACAGAAGCCTAGTGAAGGCCAGAGTGAGAGAAAGGAAGCAGCACACGCGCAGTTCAGAAGACAGAAGGATGGAAGGAGCCACAGCACCAGGGCCAAGTGGGTCACACTTAACTTAAGAGCTGGAAGGAGGCACAGGTCACCCATCAGACCTGACAAAGGCGCTGTAGGGTTTGTTCTGCTCGGAAGTCAGTCTCATTAATTATACAATCAGCTCACCAGACCCCCATGCTTTCTGTACTGTCTGCTGAGTTGCCTCACACGTAACAAGAGCAGTGGGGTTTCCACATTTTAAAGTGTGTGTGTGTGTGTGTGTGTGTGTGTGTGTGTGTGTGAGTGGGGGGTAACTTCCAAATTTAAAACACCAACACTAAAAAGAATACAAGACTCAAAAGACCACTGGACAAATCTATCCTGGTGAAAGTCACTACTGAGGCAGGCCAGCAAGGCCAACCAACACTAAGCAGAACTACCCACAGCTGCCTGCCCCAGCACTGTGACGGGGCCACTTCCTCACACCGACTGTTCTCAGTCAGTCAGAAGCCCTGTCCCCATAACGTCAGACACGGAATGAGACAGAAATGAGAATCAATTCCTTGATTAACATGCAAACTTTAAAAAAATATTCATTTATATAATTTCAGTCATTCTGGCGTACTGAGTTTGGTATTGCGTCAGAGGACAGACACGGGACTGCAGTAAAATTACATTTCAGATATCATCAATAACCTGGTAGCACCTTGTAGCATGGTTTTCTGAGGGCACTGTGTAGTTTGAGGGGTGTTGAGCTGAAAAATCATCAGCTACAGTGTGATGAAATCAATACAGAAAAACAATAAGCTATGAGAAGGGGAATCCTGTGACACAAGAAATATCTGAACACAAACAACTACTGTAAATGGGCCATTTGAAAAATGACCACACACACACACACACATACACACACACATATACACACCATCATACTAGGGGGAATACACTTTAAAAACATAAATGAGAAAACCATTATGTGTGTGCAACCAGAGTCTGCTCTACCAACAATTATTTGCTTTGCCTCTGGACCATACAGAAGACGGTTAGGGAAAGACGCTAAATTGAAAGTGTAGAACAATTCTAAACCCTTACCATTGTTTTACACCAAAGGCATTTCCAATCTTGCAGGCGGAGAACACTGCCACATGTTTTGTCACAGACTGCACACTTGGCACTCACAGGCAAGTTGCCTTCAAGCCATTGGTGAGGCATGGCGACCTATGGACAGGAAGAAAGGGTGGTCAGAGCAAAGACTGAGAACAGCATCCTAGCCCTGGGGAATGGCTTCTTACTCTACAGCCTCCATCACGAGCATGTTAAGAGTCCTTCACTCATTTTATCCACGTTATGGACCATCTATCATGCCTGAGTCCTAACGGTTTACAAAAAGAAGACAGCAGAAATCTAGCTCAGGAGAAAGGCATGCAAAGGCTTAGGAAACAGTGGTCTCTTAGGGCTTCACATGCAAGACACAATGGAGCCCAGGCTAGAGGAGGGACTGCTGAGTGGAAGCCCAGAGTCTGCAAAAGGAACATCTCAGCTAAGCTTTGAAGACCACTGAGTTTGCCCGATAAAGGTCTTTAACACAGCCCAGCTAAGAAGCAAGCGCTCCCAAGTTTTTCTTAGAACAGACTGCCCTGCAAGCAGGGAACTGAGGAACACTAAGAAGCAATTAATTAAAAATCAAAACTCATAATCAAGTAACACTTGCAATTAAGCCAGATAACCCATATTCCCACTTAACTCTGTCACTATGCTCTGCAGGAGCAGGACATGAGAGGAGGTGCCGGGGAAGGGGACAGAGCCACAGCAGCTTACACCATCCTCATCCTCTATGATATCCTTCCCGATGGAGGCCAGTGTGGTCCATTTGCAGTTATTGGTTGCCCTGACCGCACATCTTTTGTGAGCCTTGAACTTACACACTAAAAGAAAAGAAAAAGATTTCATCAAGAGTGAAGGGTTTTCAAATGAAGTTACAACATGGAATTTTTAACGGTGGAGTGAAAGAAGGCAGGAGTATAACAAGTTCCAAAGAAAAGGTGTAAGCTCCAGAAGGGGTAACTGAAATCTTAAAATGTATTTGTCTTTGTATGTATGAAGCAGCTAAAATGCAACGTTAACAGACTGCTGCTAGGAAGAGAAATTAAATAAAAACAAAAGTACTTCAGAGGAGAAAAACACAGACATGCAAACACACTCAAAATAATCCAGTAACATGAGCACTTCTCTGTCTAGGTATGGATTCCCCTATTTGGAAGTGTTAGATGTGAGAAAATTCATTGAGGTATATATGTTTCTGATATTTGCATTGTTGTATATTTATGTTAATAGTCTGAAACTGTCATAAGGCAAACATCCAGACATGTTTTAAAGCTCAAGTACATTAAGAAAGCAATCAGGCAGCTTGGAAAGCAGTCACAGTGGCAAAGTGGGCTGGAGCAGGGTCTGTGGCACACACCTTTGATCCCAGCAATCAAGAGCTGGGGGAGGTGAGCGGCTATGAGTTCAAGGCCAGTCTGGAATAGTGACTTCCATGCAAGGACAGAGAAGATGGTAACAATTATATAATTCCTTTATTACTTCAAAAATGAAACAGCTCATTTAAAACAAACATCATACTCTATAATAAAGTGCTTCGTGCCCGTTATCTTGTGGTTTTTGTTTTTGTTTTTTTTTTTTTTGCTTTGCTGGTCTTTTTTGTTATTATTATTATTATTATTTTATTTCTGCAACTGAGGACCAAACCCAGGGCCTGCTGCTCTACCACTGAGCTAAATCCCCAACCCTCTAAAGTGCTTCATGCAATAGGCCTAGAGACTAACAAGCTTTTGTAACAAGTAATGATGACAAACCAGACTGTTGCAATGGTCACCAAGAAATGCAAATGACTCTTCTGCCCCTATATTTTACTAGGTGGCAACTGAATTTCTGCAGAGAGGGCTGAAAAACAACATGTTCCTGGCCAACAATGTTGCTATCTAAAAACCACAAAAACTTCACGAATACTGTGGTAAAATTATGACTTTTCTCCTGATATTTAGCCTTTACCATGTTGGGTCCTGTTAAATATTAAACAGTAGTTAAGACAAGTATCCATTTTTGTATATTTGATACTGATTTCTTAAAATTATCATTTGAACTTGTTTTGTTCAGATACTATTTAAAAAACTGCGAAGGGCAACTTCTCCCCGGGATCATACTTAACATTCTTAATTGAATTAGGAAATTATGGAAAGTGCTGATTTTGTGTAGTGACTGACTTCTGTTTACATGTATTAAACCCAGTCAGCATCAGGACTGGCAGGAGAAGAAGGGGACAACAACAGAGCTCTGTCCCCACCCCCATGTGGACTTAGATAAATGGGCTGACACAAAGGCAGTCAAGATTTTATCATTTGAAATCCATTAGGAGTGAGAGTCTATCGCTACTTTAACTCGAACCCTAATTACACATGTTCAAAATTACTTAAGATGTGATTGCATCTGAGAATCAGCAAATGGTATCCATTCTACACATGGCCCAAAACCTGTACCCAACATTCCATTCTTCACGCTGAAGAGGCACGAGCTTTCCCCTGGCAGCTACTGACAGGTTCGCCTTTGGTACTTACGGTCCTAAATTAAGTAATAACTCACACATCTTATAATGTAAGTAAAAACATGGAGAGAGAGAGAGAGAGACAGAGAGACAGAGAGAGACAGAGACAGAGAGACAGACAGAGACAGAGACAGGCATGGGCCTTAATTTAGAGGATGTTAAAGACGTTTCAAACGATGACATGCAGATGAGATGATGTACAGTGCCTGCCTAATGCACACAGCAGTCTGGGTTCAATCCCCAGTGTTGCACAAAATAGAAAGGGAACTAGCAACATGATGCCCATTTAAATGAAGCGTAAGTAAAGGAAAACATTTCAAATAATACAATATAAATAACGTGACCATCAGGAATTCTGCCAATGAGTATAACTTGCTCTCCACAGTCAATTAGAACAAAGACGGCCTGCATGCTACCAAGCTCAAGGGATTTTTAGACAGTGGTAGTTTCTTCTAGAGAACACTGGATTTTGATGTACGCTTCCTCTCAAATAATTTCTGTTGAGCACCAGTATTTCCCCCAATCAGTCCCTTGTGTGTAGAGCCCAACATTGAAGTAGGACAAAACTTAAATCTTGATTTAAACGCATTTCCCTGCCCCCACCAAGGAAAGTGTTTTTCTGCAATGTGTCTGTCTGCTTCTTTCTTGATGGTGCAGTAGCGAGGACCATGAGTCTATGGCACTTCGGCTGTTAGTACAGCACAAACGCACATTACAGTACCTTCGCAGGACAGGCCGTGGGAGGTAACACCGGAGAGGCTCTCTCTGCACACATTACAGAATGTGGGCCGGGCATGGGAGCAGGCGTACCAGTTATGCATCCCTGAGAAATGCTCCACGTTAAACTGGGCCACCTAGAAAGGAGACGTTAGGACAGAGTTGCCAAACAGGAGACCAAGGCTAGAGATTCATGACTGTCTGCAATGTTCATGCCACCGTGAGCACCAAGCTTTCGACCCATAACTCTGAAAAGCAAAGTGCTTGACGGCAAAACAAGATCTACTTTACACAAGTTCAAATGAGCCTGCCCACACTTCCTCCCGCACCGGCTAGCTCTCGCTCTGTGGCTGCTCTTACGCACGTCTATGCTGTAAGGACACAAGAGGGCAGATGGCACGTTACCTCATAGGGTTCTCTGCTCTGTACTGACTTCAGAGAGCTGATCCAGTCTTCCATCTCCTTCCTGTTCTCAGCACACAGCATCAGCCTTCGGAATGGAGTGATTATCTGAAACAGACAATTCGATCTAGTGATTATTAATAGCCAACAAGAGGGGTTTTACAAAGCCCGGCCTCTACCAAGTCAGCTCCATCTCTTCAGGGTCTTCATTTCCTTGATGAAGAAGGAGAGGTCTCTGTAACACGGAGGAGTTTTGTTCTGCGTGACAGAATGTGTTCTGGGGAAGGACGCTATTGGGGAGTCTGCTGTCTCTTGACTCTAGCTACTAATCAGGCTTTTTAGCTCTTTCTAAAGACGACTCCCACAAATAAACAAGCATTCTTATTGCATGCAATGCATCTTCAAACCTGGTTTTAAATACACTGTCAAGTCATTTGAAATGACACCCAGCTTTGGAAAGGAGTTTTAAATTAAAAATGTAGTTTAAATTTCATAACTGATATACTGCAGTATTTCCACTACCTGTGTGAATAAGATTTGTATGAAGCTTTCCCCTCCCTCTCACTACATAGAAACTTATCTAGTTTTAATTGGAGCAAAGTGGACAGCATAAAAATCCTTGATGAAAGAAAATAATTGTGACTTTAATTTTTTCATGACACTGAGAAAAAGCAGACTAATTGCATTAAGAACCTTAAAGTAAGTAGAATGGAAAACTACAGCTGTTTTAGCACCAAAGGTACTTACAGATAAGCTTCTAACTGAACACTGCTTATGAACACAGTATCGTGGATGGTGCCTGGAGTCACTGAAACCTACACACTCACTGCAAGGAAGGGTCCATTTATGTTGTGGCCCAACAGCAAAATGCTGCATTCCTCCCAAGAAGATATTTTCAAATAATATATTAGAGACTTATTTAGACAACAAACATAAAAACTGCCCAAGTCCAATCTCTTGACCAACTAATAAACTAACTATTTTCTTATACATACAGCAGATATCATCAGTGATTATGAAGAAATAATCACCTATCAGGAAAAAGAAGGGGGACCATTCCCTAAAGAGGGAACTAGTGTACTTAACCACCACCAACCTAAACAAGCTAAGTCTACAGCACAAGCAACAGAGAAACGAACCCATCTGAGCCACTCACCAGTCATTGCGGCCTCACTTGTTTCTAGACTACACTGTCTTCCAGAAGCCCAGGAGCGTCCACTACTTCTGACAGGCATTTGCACTTAAATAGAGCCAGCCCACGGTCACGTGGCACCGGGGCACCAACGGCTCTGCTCTGCGCAGTTGTTAATTGCACATGAAATCGAAGACAACCTCACTTTTCCATGCTCTTGTTTTAAACGACCTTCTTTGGGTAAAGCTTATTAGCAGTTGGTCACTCCTCTTCCTGAATAAATAGTTAATGCAAAGAGCAATGCCTCTCTCGTTACTTGGAAGCCAAATGGATGCTTTATTGCTTCAAAATGTTTTTCTAGGGCAGTTCATCAAATGTGGCAGAGAGGTACCATTAAATCATAATATACTCCTGGATCTCGAGGCTGGCACGGCATCCAGAAACCTCCATGTTCTGCTGGCTCACTAATGTCATCTGAGTAAGTATTATACGCCTCTCATTTATTTGACTTTAGCTATACAATAGGATGTAAATATAAGGGTTCCTTTCAGGTGTGATTCCATTCTTTGATTTTGTGAAATTTTAAGCAAAGCATGGTGACTGACACTGAAAACCAAAGAAGCTTTTAAAGCCATCATGAATTTAAAAGGCAGAACAGATGGCTTCTAAACTTTAAGATTTTGGAACTACACAGACACTTCAGTTCCAAGTGAATCCAGCACGAGGGCAAAACTCAGTCATCGGCACACCCTCCACGTGAGTCTTGGGCACACCCTCCATGTGAGTCATGGGCACACCCTCCACGTGAGTCTTGGGCACACCCTCCATGTGAGTCATGGGCACACCCACCACGTGAGTCTTGCTTGAAGGTGAGCAATAATGAGCAAGCAGAGGTCATCACACACAAACATTCAGACCCAAAATTAAGGCTTTCGAAGGCAAAAAGGCAGTAGAGTGATTTCGATGGGCAGATCTTATGATTGATCACAACTAAGGATCTACAAAGTGTAAATCCACACTCTCGGAAGTCGGTGCGAAGAGAAGTCAGGCCTTCATAAATGACGTGGAGAAGAGATGGCCAGCTTTGTGGCCACAGTGCTAAAGAGCCCGATGTCTGGGCTGAGTCAGGCTGGACTCAGCCAGCAGGCCTGCAGCCTCCAACCCCACCTCTTTCCTCTCAGCTTCCCTCAGTCAGCTTCCATGCACTTGGTACTTGGGGGGCGGGGAGGGGGGCGTGCAGCCATAGGGCTGACGCACAGGCTACAGTTACTCTCCAGCTGAACTCCATCGCTCCAGCCCCGCTTCCCGCCACATTTTATCAGGGAGATGTAGGATGGGCAAATTCAGAAAATTATTTGCTACATCTGTTGGGGCAAGCTGGGGAAGTTTCTGGAACCAGAGGCTGTGCTACCTTCCTCAAAGGATCTGAAGTTTACCCATTCTAACGTGTCCCCTATCCCCTGTCTGTAACTGTCTCTTCCTATTATCCCCTGCACCATCATGGTTCTCAAACCCAACGGAACTAGTATTCCTTGAGCTATGACAGCCCCCTGAAACTCCGGAGCACACACAAGTGTTCACCTGTCAACTGCTAAGTGTGCACAGAGAGTCAAAGCCAGGGGAACGCTACAGGGTTGGTCAAAAGAGTCTGGAATGGAAAAAAAAGGAAACCACCTATTTACTTGTCTGGAAAACTACTGCTGCGGTGTCAAACAGTGGCATCTAAATTGCTTTCCTAAATGGTACCCAGGAAAGTAGGGGGAAAAAAATCCCATTAGTAGAATGGTTAACGGTGAGAGTTACTGGCAAAACGATCAATTCAAGCACACTATTACGTACTTCTAAGACTCGACATTCTCCCAGTCTAGCTGGGTAAGGAGGCTCTCTCTTGTAATGCCAGAGATAGGGGTGGCTGAGGAAAATGTCTGCGCCCTTACTGGACAAGATAGTAAGTTCCCTGACAGGCTGGATTACACAGTAAGACCCTGTTTCAAAATACCCCACCAAAAAAAAATAATAATTTAGGCTGATAAAACATTAAATATAAAACCCTATGGAACTAGGATACCACAGTTAGGCTGAAAATGTGCTAATGTGCACAAGCAAAAACACAAAAACAAAACCCAGATACTTAGTCAATTCTATCAAGACATTACAGACCAATTTAATTCTTTTTGTTCATTTATTTGGTTTTTAAAAGCAAATACGTAGTACTTCTGTAATAAAAACCATTTAATTTTTTGTTGTTTTACTGACAGAAAGATGAGAGGTTTAGAATAAAAAATGTATAGGAAGGTTTGGGTAGGTAGGGGGATGGGAGAGAGGGAAGAATGAGGGACGACTAATACGTAAGATGTTCGGAAAAGTTGTATGGAAGCCTACTGTTTTATATGCTTCCTACACAGTTAAACTGCAGTTATCCTCCATGAAGAATAAAGGCTGTCAAATAATAAGCCCAGTGTCAGAAGTGGATACCTGCCATGTTGGTCAACAGTATTCCAAAGAACCCCACCCCCACCCCAACACAAACAATATAGGTTACTATCATTGCTCTTGACTGCCCATCAGAACTTTGTGTTAAGACTCTATTACTGAAGACACACTTTCGTCTCAGGACATGGAGAAATCAAGCTGAATCATCATCTTTGCTGGCTAGCTTTCCGAGTACTGGAAGGAAAGTGGTATGCAGGGTGCCTGGGATGGGAAGGGGCAGGGGGGTGTTAATCAACAGTCTTACCCAGCTGGGGCTGCTGTGAACTAAAATGATGACAAGTACTACAGAGGTAAGCAACCACTTTCCGATTAGATTTAAAGCTCGCTCCATAGGAGGTAATGTCACCTGGCTGGAGAGTGCACAAGCCCCCGGGTGGACCTACTGCAGTTATCCTGCTAAGTGGGCACAATGTCAAACTGACCTCTGAAGTCACATGCCTAAAACCGTACATTAGCGCATACCTCAGACCTCATCACAAAAGTTTCCTTTTAGCAGTGGACAGTGGGTAATGCAGAAAGCCACAGCTGGCCAGAGCACAGAGAGTAAATGTCTGTGGGATGCTCAGCTACAAACAGAGTATCTATTTCACTCCCACCACCACCACCACCCCCACACACCCCACATAGACCCTCACACACAAAGTGGAGACAAGTTTGAGAACCAAGGTCTACAGGCAACTTTCATTCTATACAACGTTTGAGCTCAAAAATGAAAAGTCTCTACATAGAAGTGGATTAGAGGGAACTGTCTGGAGTTAGAGCAACCCAGCCTAAATGTCTCACCAGCATCCTCTTTTATCTCTGGGGCTGAGACCATGCCTCTGAGCCTGTGCTTCTTCTAACTAGGGACAGAGCAGTGACTCAATGGTGGTCAGGGGTCCAGGTTGGGCTTAGGTAACGGCTGTCTGTCTCTTTCCACGGGCAGACACTGCGCCTGCACTGTCACTTACAGATTTCATACTTATTTCTTGTATTTGTGGTCCAAGATGAAAGTCAAGAGAGCATTCATTAAAATTGAAGGTTCCTGCCAATAAAACCCCATACTTAGTAAACTGACACTACCAGAATTACAGTAGTGACCTAGTGACATCTTCCTTGAACAAAGGAAATAACCAATGAATTAAGGGTGACGAGAAAATAAAGGTTCTCTTATAGCAGTATACCCAACCTTACCTAAAGCAACAGTGGCGAATGAAAAAAAAAGTGTGGAAAAACAAAGAGGTCCTAGAGTCCCCTGAACGGCTGAGAGCATTTTAACATCCATGGTTACTGTTTATCATACCCAGGCTACAGAAGACAGAGAGCTCCTTGCTTTACTAAGGTGTCTGGCTCTGCCATAAAATTCCCTGACATTCTCTGTTCATTTTCCAAGTCCGACAACTTTCTCTGTTGGGAAACCCTGATTTTGGACCCATCCACTCTGCTAGGACAAGCTGTAATTTATCTGGAGCCACCTTGCTGCAAACCAAGTTCACATGGGCAG